GCTTTACACAATTGATGTGTGTATGGATTGGGATAACAGTTGTATGAGCCCCTAATAAAATGTTAAAAAAATAAAATAAAATAAAATAAAACATTAAAAAAAAAAAAGACTGTCATTTAAAAGCCAAAGGTTTATGATGCCCAAACAGAGTGTTTTGAGCAATGACAAGATCATAGAAATAATTACATCTCATCCTAATAGGACTGCTTTGAAGAGCAGCACTATCATTTTGAAAGTAAGTTCTGGGGTGTTTGGTTACATAATCTTTATACCTTGGATTTCTCAATTGTTTCCCTTGGTATTTATTTAATGGGAGGATTGCCAATATATTTCGGCTCTTCTAGCTATTTCCCTGTCATAGTGCCTGGTATATGTGAAAATTCAGTGAATCTCTGTTCAATTGAATTATTGAATTATACCATCAATTTAATGTCAGCATTACAAGAAAGCACAAAGACTTTGGTCCTAGCTCTTAGGTATATTCTAAGGATTGAAAAAAGATGGTGTATCTAAGATTTCCACTATATTGGTATGTATGTATGCATGTGTATATATATAAAGCTCCATATATTCAAGATATCTTATTTGTGTAATTACCTTTATGAATTCTAGTATAGGTTTGCTTTCATTTCACAATCGTTTTGAGTTTTCTTACATTACACTGCATTTCTCCTTCCCAACGTTGTGAACATCACAGCTTTTGGGGAGATTTATACAGTCTCAGTCTTGCTTCCTAATGGGAGGAACTGCAATACCACACATTGTACAGGACAACCATGGTCTCTACCAACACTGACATTTTCCATGGTAGCAGCACAGGTGTTATGTTTGGATTGCTTCTTTCTGGAGACTTGGGTTTGCGTGCCTGGCAATGCTTGTCTCCATTTTTTTCTGAAATAGAAAAAATAAATTACATCAACATGTCAGGAATTTCCATCTGAAGTTTCAGCTGGTTCTGTGTCCAGGGTACACCCAGCACTTCGTCTAATCATTTTGCTCTGGAGTACAGCCATCGTATCTTCTTTATACCCAATTACTTGCTAACAGTTATTTTTAAAATAAAGATACCTTTTGCACTTAATTCCTTTGTATACCTTTTATTCCTTTGTATACTTTCTAGCCACTTAGATTTAGTTTAAAAATTAGAATAATGTCTGTACTTGCTGAATTTTTTAAATTCTTTTTTATTGAGTTTATTTTTTGAAGCAAAATTTACATTGAAACTATTTATGAATCCTGTTGATTTGGCTTATTTTTTCTCATATATTTTACTCCTAGGACATTTTCTAATATAAAACTTAGAAGATATACAAGGAGGTATCCCATAGGTATAGCTAAGTAGATCTATAATCTATAATGCCTTCAGCATTCTAACAATGCCGGAACCAAAAACAGCATTACATTTTGTTTGTGTTGTTGAGTATTGTTTTAACTGTCTTCAGAATCCTAAAGAGCAGACCCATGTGACTTCATCATTGATGCTACAGGTAGCTACTAAGAGGAAAAACCAGCATCCATCACATCCTGAGCCACCCCACAAGTAAAACTTTCCATCCTTTAGTTTCTCGCCAGCACCTCGATGTTTGTTCCAAACTCAATGTGAACACCAAAGATAAGCAGCAGTTGGCAAAAGGAAAAGGGGAGTTGACAAGTAGCTTGCTTTTCTATGTTTCCATGTGTGCTCTTGCCATTTTGCTGTAGCAGTAACTCTTGTTTCTGCATTCACAATATATTGATGTTTTTGTCCTGGTGCATAGGTTCACCCTAAGTCAGAACTAACTTGAGAGTACCTAACAATAACCAAACAATTAAATTGATCCCGAGTCCTGGTTGAGATTGAAACATAGAGGAAGAACAACAAAAACCGAACTCACCACAAATTGAGTCTCTGCCAACTCTTAGTGACCCTGTGAGACAGGGGAGAACTTCCTGTGAGTCTCAGAGACTGTAACTCTTCATGGGAGTAGAAAGCCCTGTCTTTCCCCCACGGATTGGCTGGTGGTTTCAAACTGTCTACCTTGTGGTTAGCAGCCCAATGCATAACCACTGCGCCATAAGGGCTCCTAGAGGAAGAAAATAGTTTATTAAAACTGTTTCCTTTGTTGATTTTTTTACTACTGTGTCTACATGCAAAAGGTCAGATAGGGAGGTAAGACTATAAAGTCTGGAAGGAATTTCGATGGGTAATGAGTTAGTAGCTTTATCCTCTATCACCTGGGTTTGAATCCCAGGCCCCCACTTACTGGTTCTTTGGTATTTAAAAAGACAGTTATTCTGAATCATTTTCATTATCTATAAAAATGAGATACTAATACTTGCCCAAATCTCAGGAATGTTATGACTAATAATAAAAGCAGATAACTGTTGAACTCTCAATATCTGAGCCAGGCAACATAGTAAGCACTGCACATACATTCTCTTCATAGCACTAATTCAGCAGGTTTTATTATGATCATTTTTCAGAGAAGAGTGAGGCTGAGAGAGATTATATCTTGCCTGAGGTTTATAGCAAGGATTCTAACAACTGCTGGAGGATTCTAACCCAGGAGGTCAGGATTCAAAGCCTCTGCCTTTCCCCTTAAAGGTCATTGCCACTCAACATGCAACTGTGCCCTAGCTGCTGTATGAGCACAGACATATTGTCTATATGCCTTCAGTTCTACAACCAACAGTATTCATGTGGCATAAGGGACCTTTGTGGGATGCACTGAACATATTCTGTAGGTTGAAAAAGTTAAACGCGGTTAAACCACAGATACCTTGGCAACCCAAGTTTAGCTATTAAACTGTTGAAGATTACTTCAGGCTAGTACTTCTTGTCCTGGTGATGGTTTGGTTGAGTATACTTGAAAAGTACTGATAATTTAAGGGCAATCCCAAACTTTATTTTTTCCTCACTAATAATGTAAATGCATAGGATTTAAAGAATTGAATCTATATCTCTGGGTTTATAATTATTTCCCTGTTTAATAATGGAAGTTTCTTATTTTGTTGTGGTACATATGATCTATAGGTAATTATGTAATGAAAGTGAAATAAATACCATACCTTTTTACATTAATGACATGGATGGACCTCTTTCGTATAGACTTTTCATTATGAATCCAAAAATATTCTTAGTCAGCAATTTGGCTGCAGTAATGCTTTAATATTAAACACCTGTGATATTTTAGAGAAAAATTATATTTAAGAAATCATATTCTAAAAACTCAAAATTTAGAATTTTCACACTTTGAAGTAACCCAGGTAATTTATTTTTTCTTGAAAATGCTCTATTTTGTCTAAAAAAATGCAGTTATATAAACAACACCATAGATACATAAAATCAACTCTGCATACCATAACAGTATTAAAGAACTTTTTCACTATTTTATTAGAACATTTCATTGTAAAGTTTAATAAACAGAAAATTATTCAACGAATCTAATTTGTAAACTACTTACTAGGCTTACTTCAAGACTTAATATTGTTTCTACAATATAAAATACTACAGATATAATTTAAAAAATAAAAATTGCTTGTCTACATTTAATGACTTCTAAATCTCATCTTGGACTTTTATGTATTTAGAATAAAATTTAAATAATCATCTCTTCTGTTTTAGGTCATCCATTTCTTTCTTCCTATTGATTCACATCTGTCCGCATGCAAACACACTGGTCTTTCTTCCACATGAAAAAGAGGAAGTAAAATCATCAACTGTCCCCACGCGCCACACCTCTCTCCAGCTCCCAGCTCATTTCCCTTGTCTTTGCAGTCAGACCCCTAAAGCAGAGCTGCCAGTGTTTGTTCTTCCTTATCAACCTCTGACCTCTCTCTGAAGCCGGGTCAAACAGCGCTTGGTCCTATCACTCACTGACACGCCCTTTCTACTCACCTCCCGATTTATTCTCAGAATAGCAGGAACTAGATCTTCGAAATGCAAGTCACAAAATGCCATAGGCTTTGTTGCAAAGTCTCTAAGGGTGCCCCGTTCATAAAACTATATAAAAACTGCTCCCTTTCCAGTCTCTCTTTCCACCACTTCTCCCCGCTCATGCATCTCCAACAACATGTGCTATTGTTTGAATCCGGAAATATGTTCTCGCCACAGGGCCTTGGTACATCCTGCCCCTCGTATCTGAAATGTGCTTCCTATAGACGTTCTCATGCTTTGCTGCCTCTGGAAAGCTCCCATGACTGTCTGTATCAGATGTCTTCTGCATCTGTGGCCCGCTCACATCTTGGCATCATCTCTGATTGCAGTCATAAATGCTGCACTCATTTTCCACTGGTGGCGCCCAGTAGACAGAGCTGTGAGCTCTAAGAAGTTGTGAGGCTTTCCAAAGATGATTATAACTAGAGGAAGCCATGTGAAGCCGACTGGCCACTTACTGCAGTACCGTTGTTCTCAGGTGCCACGGAGTCCATTCTGACTCTTAGTGACCCCGTAGGACAGAATAGAACTGTCCCATAGGGTTTCCTACCGCTTGAAACCACCAGGTTTCAAGACGAGGAAAGATGAGGCTTTTAGTTACAATCTCAGTAAACCACAAAGGCAGTTTTTCCCTGTCTTATAGGGTCACTAAGATTTATTTATTTAAGGTCATTTTATTGGGGGCTCTTGCAACTCTTATAACAATCCATACATCAAGGTCACTAAGATTTAGAATGACTTCATGGTAGTGAGAAATCTTTATGGAAGCAGATCATTCGGTCTTTTCTCCCTCAGAGCAGCTGGTGAGTTTGAACTGCCTATAAACCTTTCAGTTGGCAACATAAAGCTTAACCTTGTGCCACCAGGGCTCCTAGCTTCAGTGCTATGCATCTGTATTTACTGAATGATTCAATACTGAATGACCACTGTTGCATTTCTGATGATAAGAATTCACGAATAATAAAGTTTTCTTGTTTTTCCAGGTTTTGCCCAAGCAAACCAATTTAATTACGGAGTCGATAATGCCGAGCTGGGAAACACTGTGCAGTTAGTTTCTTCTTTCCAATCAGTCCCTTGTGATGTAGAAAAAGATGCAAGTCATTCAACTCATATTACATGTTACACCAGGTATGTTTTCAAATCTTTTTTTAATAGTTGAAATATATTTAAGAGTTGTGCAGTCATCACCACCATAAATTTTAGAATGTTTTCTTCATTCTTATACCCTTTATTATTGTTGTTATTGTTATTATTTTGTATCTGTTACTATTAACTCATTTCCTCCCAACTTCTACTTCCATAACCCTCCAAAAACCAAACTCACTGCCATTGAGTCAATGCTGATTCATAGTGACATACCTATATGTCTATATACTTATATACCTATATGTCTATTGGGTAGAACTGCTTCTGAAAGTTTCTGTAACACTTTAAGGGAGGAGAAAGTCCTATTTTTCTCTTGCAAGAGCAGCTGGTGGTTTCAAACTGCTGACCTTGTGGTTAGCAGCCCCGCACATAACCACTACATAACCAGAGCTCTTTGTCATATCCCCAAGGATCTATTAACCTATTTACTGGCTTTGCACATTACCTGTCCTGGATTTCATATAAAAGAAAGTCATACAAAAAACCCCAACAATGATAGTAAAATAAAATACAGAGAAACCTCAATTTAAAAAAATACAGAATAAAAATGAACAAATTAAAAACAAATGAAAATGTGATCATTTCAACTTAACTACATTGGCATTAATCCACTTTCCAATGCAGTCTATCTGAGAGCACGACTGTTCACATCCCTTGCTAATGGTGTGAGGGAGTTCAATGGAGGCTTAATCCATGTGGGGATCTGCAAATGGATTTTGGACTTTCACTGTCATCCATAGCCTTCCACAAACCAGGTCTTCAGATTTAAGCTCGAATCCAATCGCTTCCCTGATCTTGGATATTATTATTTACAATCCTCTTATCACACAGGCTGGTGTGCTCCTTCTATGTGGACTTAGCTGACACCTCACTTAGATGGCTGCTTGTTTTAAAACAAATGTCCATAAGACCCCAGATGGTAGTCTTTCTGGCAGCTGAGAACCAGTTGGTTTCTTCATGACACTTTGCTGTAGCACCCAGATCTTCAAAGATCTCTTCGTGAGTGTACATATTGAGTAGGGCCATGTCATGAGAACTAATTTTGGACTTGGAGTCTTCAGTGACATACAAGTCCATCTCAAGCAAGGGGGGGTGGGGGGAGGGAAACTAATTCTTTTTTGATTAGGCCTTACAATTAAGTGTGAACTCAAATTCCATTCATATATCCATGGTATGTATGTCCCTGGTCCATATAAGAGACATCATTATCTTTTTATTGGGAATATTATAGTAAATCTCCACAGAGCATAAGGTGATTCTACTGATAGTGTTATTAGCCAATGGTAAAATACTATTGAGAAAAGGAAAGTATACTTAACTAGGACAGAGTTTTAGACTAACATAAATGGATTGTACAGATTATAACCTTAAGTGACTGAGTATTATTTACACAAACAATGAGGATTGGAAATATAGGACAAAACTTTCCATTGTGGTCATTCACTAAAGCAGAACTGTGCCTGCTGGACCAAGACATGTCATAAAGAAGCAAATAGAGTATGAAAATGGGAAATATATGGTAGTCTGAAGTTGCCAGTTGTTGAGCAAAAATCATTGGATACCATCATTTTTATTGTATCATCATAACAGTATATACCTAAGTATGATGATAGCTATTATGAGTAAGGAGCTGATTTCTGCTCCCATAAAGATTTACAGTCTCAAAATCCAGTCTTGAAAACTCCCAGACACAGTTCCACTCCCTTCTGCAGGATCTCTGTGAGTCACAATTGATTCGATGGCCGTGAGTTTGCTTTTGGTTGGATTCGTGAGTAATGTTTTCCTGATGATCCTTTTTTTAAAAAAATTCATGATGTTTGAAATATTTTAGACTTTTATTTCATTATGGTGTTATTCCCTTCTATCTCAAGATAGAAGCACATTTTATATCCTGTCCCACTTTATTAGATCTATTGTTTTTATCATCACCAAGCTCTTTTGGAAGGTAAATAGCCACTATTAAGTTGTGATGATGTGTCTGAAAACACCAAAATCATACTTTCTTCACTAGTTTAATTAATTTTGTGTAATACTTTGACATGGTCATTAAGATTAAAGGTGGTCATTTTGTATTGTTCATTTCAAGTTCTTTACTAGCAGCCCAAATGGATGGATGTTATTAGCAAGTTAAAAGATTTTTTAAAAATCTAAATAGTTTTTCATTGTAACTTTTGATAGTGCCCTTAGAAATAGAGAGCACATGTTCCAGAGGATTTCCTCTATGTTAGGCTCACTGGCTTGTTTTTTTCAGCAACAAAAGCCTCCTTTTGGGATACTTGATAAGCTAATGTCTTAAATACACAAAGTGTAAATTAACTGGATTGAATTAGGTGGCATGTTACTATTGCATTTGGTGTTGGAAGTATGCTTTCTAATAAGTAGCTATGCACATAATCACAATAAGCCTGAGGTTCACGATAACAGTTTTACAATCCAAAGTTCAGGTGTAGAGCTTTAACTTTGTATAGTATAGTATATAAGGGACTCTAACCATAGATCAAACAGAATTTAGTACACTTTTAAAAATGCCATGTGCTTTTGGAGAGTTGAGTACAGAAGGTCAAAGGCCTAAGCCTGACTCAAACAGATAAAACTTGGCAGCAGATTTCCCCTACGATGCATGTTGGACCTGGTCTAGTTTTTTTAACTCTAAGTATTTTGGAGTTGTATTGTTTGGTTTGGTTTTTGATTGTACAGATCAGGGGGCACCACAGAAGTGTTTTGTCGTTGGGCGTCAGCCCCTTGAAGTTGAGGTATATGGTCTTCCATGTGGTGCATGAAAACCAGGCCTGATGAAGCGAAAGAGTCAGCAACTGGAATCAGGATTTTGGTGGGAAGGGGGCACAGAGGTGGGGGTGAGGGAAGGGTGATGACCTCAAGGGCGCCAAATAGAAAAAGAATATTTGGAAACTGATGGTGGTAGCCAATGTACAATTCTGCTGGATATGATTGAACGATGGAATGACTTCATATATGTCTTAATCCACGTAATCTAGGGCAGCATTTTTCACTCATGCTGGTTTTTGTGTAATTAAGTTGATTCCAACCGATAGCAAAACGACAGGCAGAGGAGAACTGCTCCATAGGGCTCCCAAGGTTGTGATCTTTATGGAATCCGGTTGCTATGTCTTTTCTCTGATGGTGTGGCTAGTGGGTTTGAACCTCCAACTTTTTGGTTAACTGCTGAGGGCCTAGCGATTGTGTTGATAGGTCTTGTTTTTCTACATTCATATCGCACCTTTAATAAAAGAGATATTATGTTTCTCATATGTTCTCTTTGTGTACCTTCCAGAGCAATGCCAGAAGATTCCTATACTGTTAAAGTCAGCGTGGATGGGATTCCCATTACAGAAAATAATACCTGCAGAGGTCACATCAGCAGCTGGGCCTGTACCTTCAATGTACGTACGCATCAGTTCTTTAATGTATATATACAGTAAACCCCGGACCTATGCTAATGCTAATCCGTTCTAGAAGGAGCATCGAAATGCGATGCAATCGAGTTTCAAATCAATTTTTCCCATAAGAAATAACCAAAAATGGGTTAATCCATTCTCAACCACCAAGTTTTTACCCTAACCTTGCCTTTTTATATAAAACATGACACAGACATTTCAAAGTAAGTTCAGAGTTAAATAATATCATTTAAATAAGAAACACAACATTAAAACGTGTTTAACAACTACAGTGTGGCCCATACCTTGAGACTGATGAGGATCTAGATCTGTGGAAACGGATGTGGAGAGGAGGGGTGGAGGGAGTCATTGTTTGGAAGGAGAATCCCCTTCCCTCAAATCACCCCGGTAGCTGCTTTGCAGAAGGTTTTCCACTTTTTTGCCTTTTGTCACGAGGACCTGGCTGGCTTTCTATAACAATTTTTTTTTTTAATCTGTCTAATGTGGTTTGCTGTTGGAGTTTTCTTAACTGTTTTCTAAAAAGGTTTACTAAATTATCAACAACAATATCAATAACACGGTTCACCAGTTCCTTATCATGATGATTCTTTTCAAAAAGCTCTTTCTTAAGACCCATGTTGTTGATCTAAAACCAGTACAACAGGACACAAAAACTAAGGGAAGGATAGCAAAACGCTTGGAACGCAGCTGCAAAAGGTTTAAACAATGCGTACGGACTGGAACACAAACTACTTTTGTTTACAAAAATCACGTGCATCAGGTCGGATTCTGTTTTGTGTGAGGTCCCATGCAAAATTTTCTCGACATTTTGAGTCGAAATCTGGTTATGTTGAGTACTGACGTGGTCCAGTACTGGGGTTCTACTGTAATTGACCTTGTGCATTTTTTTCCTCAAAAAATTGGATTTTTCTTTAATTTTTAGGACTTTATCTCTTCTAGTTGTGGTCACATGCCCTTGAGTTTGCTCTGACTGATAGCAACACTTGGTACAAAGAATGAAACATCCCCGTCCTGTGCCATCTTTACAATTGTTATTTTTTTAGCCATTTTAGTTATTTTTGATGCAGCCATTTTGTCAATCTATTTCATTGAGTATCTTCCTCTTTTCTGCTGACCCTCTACTTGACCAAGAATGATGTCCTTTTCTAAGGACTAGTCTCTCCTGATGACATGTCCAATGTATGTGAGATGGACCAAGTCTCACCATCTTCTCTCACGAGCGCCCGGGCGAGACTTTCTCCCAGACAGATTTGCTTGTTCGGCCGGGCCAGCTGGCCGGGATGCTTGCAATATTCTTGTCAACACCATAGTTTAAGTGCATCTGGTCTTCTCTGGAATTCCTTCTTCGTTGTCCAGCTGTCACATGCATGTGAGATGATTGATGCTAGCATGTCTGAGTCCTGTTTTTACCAATTCATCATGAAATACTACTTATAGCAAGTACCTAAAAGTATATTGGCATATAACTAAAAATAATTATACACCATTTCAATTGTCTTCCATGTGATAAAATCTATTTTATCATTGCTGCTTTGGCTCTCCTTCTTTTGCATTCATTTTATAAATAAATTAAGCATTTATATTTCCAGATGATTCTCTTATCTAGTCTGTTTTTTCTCTTTCTGTATTCCTGCTCTTAGATCAGGTCTTTCTTTTGCATTTTTATTGGCTCACTCTTGAATTTTAAGTGGAAACAAATTTATTTTCTCTTTTTCAATAATTTCTACCATAATGAGATATATGTAGCACAGAAGTCACTCAAAAGTTAGTTGTCCTAAATCCTTTTTTATTGTTTGGACTTGATTTGTGTCATCAAATCTTCTCTGGTTCCTCCTTGTCTTCTGGCCACCACTCACACTTTTAAGGGCCCTTATGATTACATGGGGCCGACTAGGATAATACGGCTTAGCTCCCTATTGAAGATTAGCTGATCACCAGGCTTATTTCCATCTTCAAAATTAATCTCCATTTGCCAGGTAACCTAACTGATCACAGGCTCTGAGAAGTAGGGTCCCCAGACCCCCACCCCCACCTGCCTACCCAGGCATTAGGCACACTGATAAACTTCATAGAATTTCATTTTTGACAGTTCATGTTTGTTTTCACGATTCTTAAGAATTATACTTGAGAATCCAGGGCGGATGAGCCTTACAGGACCAGTGGTGTGAGTGGCGAAACAGGGAGGGTAGAGGGAGAATGGGTAGGAAAGAGGGAACCGATTACAAGAAACTATATGTGACCTCCTCCCTGGGGGATGGACAACAGGGTGAAGGGAGATGTCGGACAGGGCAAGATATGACAAAACAACAATTTATAAACTATCAAGGGCTCATGAGGGAGGGGAAGGAGGGGAAAAATGAGGACCTAATGTCGGGGGTTTAAGTGGAGAGAAAATGTTTTGAGAATGATGTACAAATGCGCTTTACATGATTGATGTGTGTATGGATTGCGATGTATGAGCCCCTAATAAAATGTTTAAAAAAAAAAGAATTATACTTGAAAAAGAAAGAAAGAAAGAGTTATACCTGAGCTTCTATAGAAAGGCATCACGTTGGTATTTAAAGCTTACTTTACTGTGCTTTTCTCATGTTTTGCTTCTATTTTCTAAAATATGTTTTGTTTTCCTTCATGAGTAGGATTTCTGAATGTTATTCCTCTAAATTCCTAAAAGTCTTTACTAGAGAGCATGATTAGTGTGGTTTTGCTTACACTTGTAGCCAAAAGGATGGCAGAATTTTCAAACTGCCATGCTAAAATTGTTTTTGAATTCACAGTAATTGAAACAAAAAATGTACTTTGGGCGGTAAGAGAAGGATCTTGAATAGTCAAAATGATATTCTAAACTATACCAACTATATGTAAAAGAGACTATTTTGACAATCATGTCACAAGTACTGTTGATATAAAGATTATGCACAAAGTAAAGATATTTCATGAAAGTAAGGAAAAATACATGAAATAGATTTATTTTTGACATTATTACTTTTCAGGCAAAAAGTTTCAGAACTCCAACAATAAGGAGCATTACGCCATTATCTGGGACTCCAGGTCTGTTATATGATAATTGAATTCGTATATTTTAAATTAGGAATATATTTCACATGATTATGAAGATGCAAATTATAATATATGAGCATTTATAAATAATCTATGTTTTATAATCAGGTACTGCAGTACTGATTTAGACTCAGTATAAAATTGAAAGTTTTAGATCTGTAGTAAAAATTGAAATTTGGGGAAGGGCAAACTTTAGCACAGCAGCTAGTAGAGGGGGGTTGGGAAAGGAGTAACCACGGCAAACAGGCACATGGGAGCTGTGGGGGCATGTAGTTGACCACTCTCCAGCCAGTGCATGTTTCTTGGTTTCTCATGAAAAACATTTTATACACCTATTTTTTTTTCTTTCTAAATTCCTTAAGTCCATGGGACTTAAACTTTTTTTTGTGCTTATAAAATCATACTCAATAACTACTCAATAATTTTGCTTATAAAATAATACTCAAAGCAGAGCAAATTATTAATAATTTTACCTTACACATAGATCAAAATTTTGATATGTTGTCTTGTTCTAATCTGTGAATTTATGTGCTACATGAAAATATATATCATCTTACAGAATTAGAATATATATGGACACACATATAACATGCATGTTCTTTAGTGTTACTGTGTTCTTTTTCCACTTAAAATTATATGATGAATATTTTTCTTTTAAGATATTCTTTAAGTGGTTGATTTTGTAAAATAATCAATATTTCAAAATTATTTTCAATGGCTCCTTATAAATCTACTGTATTGTCGTTAACTTTTCTTTTATTGAACATTTGACTATCATCCCAGTATTGCATAATAATAACTATAATCATATGAGTTTATGAACTTAACAGTACTATTCAAGAATGCCTTGACAACTCTGGGTATTACTTTTTTCCCAATTATATTTATATGAGAATATGTTAAGGCATTTAAAAAATTCTATTTCTGTGGTTTATGTTATGAAGTATATTATGCATTTATTAACTATTTGCATTTCTTCCTCTTTTACTTATCTGGTCATCTCCTTTGCCTAATTTAAAGCTGGTCATCTTTTAACATTTTAAGTTACAAGATCTCTTTATGTGTTAATGAAATTAGTCATTTCTATGCCATATATGTGGCAATTTTCTTTCACATTTACTATACAGTATGTTTAAAAAATAATTTATGATTTTCTATAATTAAGTAACTCCTAATTTTAATGATCAAAGCTATAGGTCTTAATTTTTATTATATCAACCTTAATTATACTATCCTAAGATTATGTAGTCATCTTTTTTCTAGCACTTCTATGGTTTTATTTTTTAATTTTAGTTTTTTATTTCATCTAGAATTTACTTTGTTGCATTTATTATTTTCAAGTAAATCACTCATTGACCCTGTTACAATTGTTGAATATTGCATATCTAATCTTTCATGAAACTTCTTATTAATCTATATATTCTTATAGATATACTCATGTTTTATTATAGCTGCTAGAAATTTAAGAAAAATGCTAAGTAACCATTGTAAATTGCAGTGTCTGGATACTTATTTTATTAGGAACACTTCTTGGGTTTGAACATTAAATTTAGCGGGAGATAGTCTTACAGAATTTTGCCCTCTGTGTTTAGGTACATTAATAACAATCCAGGGGAGAATCTTCACTGATGTCTATGGAAGTAATACTGCACTAAGTTCTAACGGGAAAAATGTTAGGATTTTGAGGTAACTCTTTTATGCTATTTTGTAACTCTAAAACCGGATATGATATTCCAAAAATAATGGATTCTGTGATATTAGAAACAACCACAATGTGATGGGACTAACCAATATTTTTAGCCATATTATGGGTAGAAAACTAGATAGTTGGATAACTCGTGGGATTAGTTGTCAATATACTTTTATTTTCTGGTGTGTTTTAATTCCTTCTCTTTCTGTAATGGATTTTATTAATAGAACCAAAAACCAAACCCAACCACTGCCATCGAGTAGATTCCGACTCATAGTGTCCTTACAGAAGAGGGTAGAACTGCCCTGTGGGTTTCCGAAATTCTTTGCAGGAGTAGAAATCCCACTCCCAAAATGATTGCTTTATTTTGTTTTCACTGTAGCTAACATTTATTTGTGTATTTTTAAAAACCCAAACACACGTCCTTCACATTCACTGCACTCACCTCACCTTCCTGATGCCACAACCCTTTCAGTTTCTCATGTGGTGGTGACCCCCAACCATAAAATTATTTTCCTTGCTACTTCATCACTGTAATTTTGTTGCTGTTATGAATAGTAATGTAAATATCTGATATGCAGGATGTATTTTTATTGTTACAAATTGAACATAATGAAAGCATAGTGATTCATCACAAAAACAATATGTAATTATTTATTGTGAAATATTTATTTCTAATGACAAATAAATGAAATGTTTTGAAGCATGGTGTAGCATGGGTAACAGTCTTCACACGGATAGAGGAGCGGTGTCTCGGCTCCTATGATCATTGGAAATATGTGTTTCCCGGTGGTCTTAGGCGACCCCTGTGAAAATGTCATTTGACCCCCAAAAGGGTCGCGACCCACAGGTTGAGAATCGCTGCTATAGGACAAGGCAGAATTGTCCCTATGGGTTTCTGAGACTCTTGCCGGGAGGGAGTAGAAAGCTTTGTCTTTCTCCCTAGGAGGGGCTGGTGGTTTCGAACTTAAGGCTTAACCTGCATTACTGTTAGCTGCCCCGTGCATGACTCACTGCTACCCCCGGGCACTATCTTCTTTTAAGTGGGGAATTACTTGGAATTACTTAATGAAATCACAGAATCCTGCAATCAAAAGGCGCCTCGCAGGTCAGAGATGACAGGACTTTACTCTGAAAACAGTTCTCTATCATCTATAAATACATTCTTGTTTTCGTTCTTTAAATGGGAGGTCTTTAAGTTACTTGCATCCCCTTCCTGCCACGTTGACAAGGATACTCAAACCAAACTCTAAACTGACTGCCATCAAGGGCATGCTGACTCACAGAAACCCTGCAGGACAGGGTAGAACCGCCCCTGTAAGTTTCCTGAGACGAACTTTTCTCCCGCGGAGCAGCTGGTGGTTTCAAACTGCCGACCTTGAGGCTCACACTCAACGTATAACCACATTGCTTCGGGGCTGCATTTTATCACCACAGGAGAGAGGAGAGCGCAGCGGACCTTGTCTTAGATGGAAAGACCGAAGACCCGAGTGTTCAGCCTGTTTCTGCTTTTCCCGGTCTGTGAATTTGGCAAATCCACCATTCAGATTCAGTATGGTAGGCCTACCAATGAGTAACAGGTCTAGTCTTCTAGGAGAGAATACAATCTCATCCCATCCTATTTCCACTGAGTCAATTATAACTCACCTCGACCCAATGGGACTGAGTAGATCTGCCCATGGGGTTTCCAAGACCGTAAATCTTCACGGAAGTAGACTGCTACACCTTCCTCCAACCTTCCCTTCATGGCCTCCATTAGCGGCTTCTTCTTTCGACTTTCCCGTGATGGTTATTTGGACCCCAAGTGGCCTTGTGGTGACAGGTTGGACTGCTACTGCGAAGTCAGCAGTAGGAACCATCCGCTGCTTCATGGGAGAAAGACAGGGCTTTCCACTCAGGGAAACTCTTTCAGACAAACTCAGAAGAACCCCGCAGGGCAGTCTATCGTGTCCTATAGGGTCGCTATGAGTTAGAAACGACTCCATGGCAGTGGGAGAATGCTAGAGAGTAGAATATAATATTTATTATGTTTCAGATACCGAAATATACTATGATGATTATGTGTACTGTCCATCTCCCCCAGTGGGGGGGGGGTGGTCTCCAAGGTCAGGAATCCTTCTCATGTTCACTGGTGAACCCCAATACCTGTAGAAGGGACTACCACACGATAGGTGTTTGTGGAGTGAATAATAGTAATTGATGCAGAGAAAGAAATAAGGTGGCTAATGTGTTTGGCTAAGTTTGGTCTGAGATAATTTATTGGATATAACTTGATATTTTCTCACAAAAATATTCATACAGAGTTTATGTTGGAGGAATGCCCTGTGAGCTTCTCATACCACAATCTGATAACAGGTAATAATTAAAATAATTTTCTATCGAAAAATAAATGTCACATATAAATATACTTATTTTAATAGTAATTTCTAACAGTATTTCATGGCTAAATTCATTATAATTTATAAATCAAAATATGTGTGGTGAATTAATAATCTTTTATATAGTTAGGTGTCAAATACCTTTTTCCAGTGTAGTAAGTTTGATATGCACTATTATGTTATTATAAGAAAAGATGTTTTAAGAAACATCTTTATCAAATAATTATTTCACTTGGTAATATTTTAAATACATCAAAATCAACATCAGTGGGAATAACCAAATCATGTTAAAAATATGTAGCTGTTAAGGGACATGTACTTAAATATCTTTAACCAAGGCTGGGCAATATTTTTCTTTTAAGTTAAAATGTTGTTTTAATCATGGTTTCTGTCCAGAGACACAGTTTTAAATAAATAAAATGTTTTTAAGGGGAGTTAATATTTTAAAACTTTAGTGTCAATATAAACATTGATATGAACATGTATGTTATTAGGTATGGTCTAAAACTAGACCATCTGAGTGGAGATTTGGGCTCGATGATTTGTAAAACAACTGGGACTTATATTGGTAAGTACTGATCACCATTCTTCATCATTCCCATAGGTACCTAACTCCATCCCCTGTTCTGTATCTCCTCAGCTCTCCTCTACCTCTCTGCCTTTTCCTTTCCTTTTTTGATTTCTCCCTTTCCTTGGCATCTCTGCAGTTTCAGGAGAACATGTGTGACTAAGTTTTTCCCTAAGGTTTATATTTAAGGTAAGCTTATTCTGGTTTTGTCCTTTTTCCACTCTGCAGAAAATAAGGAGAGCATGCTTGTTTTACCTGTAGGCTGAATATGACTGTATGCCCACCTCCCCACTGGCTCTGCACAGGGAGCCCTGGTGGTTCTGTTGGGCTTGCATCAAACTGTTCATTGGGAGATGCCCACTCCAACAGCTGTGCCAAGGGAGAAAGTTGAGGCTCTCTGCTCTGGGAAAGAGGGATGGCTATAAATGAGTCAGAATCACCTGGGTGGCAGTGGCTTTTGTTTGGGGTTATGGTTTGTTCTTTTTTTTCCCAATTCATTTTATTGGGGGCTCATACAGCTCTTATCACAATCCATCCATCCATCCATCCATCCATCCATCCATTGTGTCAAGCACATTTGTTGCCAGCATCATTTTCAAAACATTTCTTTCTACTTGAGCCCTTGGTATCAACTCCTTATTTTTCCCCTTCCCTCCCCCACCCTCCCTCCCTTCCTCACGAACCCTTGATAATTTATAAATTATTATTACTTTTTCATGTCTTACACAGACCGATGTCTCCCTTCACCCACTTTTCTGTTGTTGGTCCTCCTGGGAGGGAGTTATATGTAGATCATTGTGATCAGTTCCCCTATTTCCCCTCACCTTTCCCTTCCCCTCCTGGGATCGCTACTCTCATATTGGTCCTGAGGGGTTTATCTCTCCTGGGTTCCCTGTGTTTCCAGCTCTTATCTGTACCAGTGTACATGCTCTGGTCTAGCCGGATTTGTAAGGTAGATTTGGGGTCATGATAGTGGTGGGAGGAGCATTAAAGAACTAGAGGAAAGGTGTATGTTTCATTGATGCTATACTGCACCCTGACTGGATTATCTCTTCCTTGTGACCCTTCTGTAAGGGGATGTCCAGTTGCCTACAGATGGTTTGGGTCTCCACTCTGCACTCCCCCTCATTCCCATTGATATGACCTTTTGTTCTGGGTCTTTGATGCCTGATACCTGATCCCATCGACACCTCAGGATCACACAGGCTGGTGTGCTTCTTCCATGTGGGCTTTGTTGCTTCTCAGCTAGATGGTTGCTTGTTTCTCTTCAAGCGTTTAAGACCCCAGATGCTACGTCAAGAACACAGATCTTTCAGTTCTTGAACCATCACATATCTCTGCTTCTGGGCTTTTGTTAGCTTCTTATCCTGAAAATTTCAGATCAATGGCACATTTTAAAGCTTCCTCTACTTCTTGATAGCTTTCTCGAGGGATAAGCTCATGTCATAGCTACTGACTAACTCTGTCACTAACTCTGTGTAAGGGCTTAACAGTGTGTTCAGCTTGCATTTGTCAGCACCTCGTTGCATGTCTGTTTCAGTGAACTAGCTGCTGAATGAATGAATGACATGTCTTGACATTATGGTTGTGGTATCTGCCTGGTTTTCCTATCTATAACCTAAAACAAGTTCTCTGTATTTTAAAAAGTGTATCGTATTAGTTTTTAAATTGTTGGCACTTCTTTAAGGTAGCCCAGTTTTCATCTCTTTTAAGTTAATAGGTGGTGGTATAGTTATAGTTATAAATCTATGCTTCTTTTCTCTGCTTTGCAATCAGGTTTCTGATATATAGTTATTATTCACCTGTGATAGCATATTTAATTGTGTGTATTTTAATTAATTCCAGGTCATCACAATGTCAGCTTCATCTTGGATAGCGATTATGGAAGGTAGGCCATTGTATAAGAAGTACCTTTCATAACCGATTTAATGAATGGAATAAAATAATATGCATTCATATATATTTACATAGTGCTACAGACCCTGAGATTAAGAATCTAATGACTTTAATCCCCTCAATTAACTATTAATATGTTGTAACTCCATTCATAATTTGTGCAGCAAATATGACCTTGGAATTATTGGGCAATCTAACATTAACTAAAACAATAACAACAAAATCAAAAGTTTTGATTTTTTTATTGCCAAGTGCTGTTTTGTGTAGTGTAGTTCTTCTGATTTGATTATAGTTTTATCATTAAAGTAATTGAATTTTAGTTTAAAACAATTGCAGGTAAGAGTAGATAAAATTTCATAGTTAATGAAATTAACTTAATGGTTTTCAAATCAAGGAATAGAACACTGTGCAAGATGATAGCTGTAACTCTCAGTTTGCCATCTGAGCACTCATATTAATAACAGATATTTATTATGTTTAATAAAACTACAACTTGTTTCCATTCTCCCTATATCCTCATTTTAGCAAAAATGTTCATCACATATTTACAGAAGTATCCAAATATAAGAATTTCAGTATTTGTTGAAAGCCGCCTACTTTAGATAATGAAAACAATGATTAACATTTAGTGGTGTACTTAACACTTCACATACATCTTCCTGTTTAAATCTTCCAAAGATCTTATAAATGGAGTACTATCATCCATTCCCATGTGGAGCAATCAATACTTAGGAACACTGACTAATTTCTCCAGGGTTATCCCGCGTGTAGCAAGCGTGGCTGAGATGTGAGCCTGTAAACTCCAGCTCGAGGACTTCCGTATTCCGTCCCAGTGCTCTCCGGAGGAGAGATGGGGGATGTCAGTTGTCAGCGATATTCCTCACTGCTGGAGCTTCTTCACCCAGGGTTGCCTAAGAGCATCTGCAAATGCCTGGGGCCTTGTTGGCCGGTCCAGGTCCAGGCACTAGGTATGCTAATGGCCTGTCGTAAGGGCTATGGATTTGCCAAACCTACATTAATTGTCCTGCCCCAAATGCCATCATGCCTGTGATTGAACAATGTGGAGCTAGTTGACAGAAATCAAAGTATTATATTACTTTGGGTCCAACACTGATACAGCTCTGCTAAACCAGCAAGTAGGATAGGTCTCTTGGTCCCTGTTTTGAGTACTCTCTGAATCAATACTCAATGATTAGTAGAAGCTTAAAAAACAACCAAAGTAGATGTTATTCCTGTGTTCACAGACTTCTCAGGGTTAGATGTAGTCGCTCCTTGTGTGAGTGTCACGGAGATCAACCTGTCACCACTGTGTTTGGAGAGCATTCCATTTTAGACCCTTATAACAATCGGCTTATAGCCAAGCGATGCAGGTATTGGATACTCTATCAATATACATCAATATAGACTGAGCCCAAACCATGCAGATTACAATCCAAGGGCAAGTTGGAGTGGATGAAATGCGAATAATGCTAGAATTCACGTTTTTAATTTACACGGGGCCACATAACAGGGTCCCATGACTTCAAAGATATGACATACACATGTATAGCATAGCTAGGTAGAATATTATGGATTTATTGAAAATATTTGAAAACTATGTTAGATGCAATAATCATTTTGTTTGAAATAACTTCCTGAACTCCAGGTGGCTCTCCGAGGTATTTAACACCACTCTTCTGAAGTGAGGAAAATGAAGTCTTATTCTGAGTCTGTGTGAAAGGTATTAATCCATCATCTCCTTCTCAGAAAAGGAATTATCCCAAAATAGAAGCTTTGACTGATCAAGCTTGAATATATTTGATAATTATACATGTATATCAATATGGTCTATTAACATGCGTGACAGCCTAAACTTTAAAAATTCTAGTAAGTTTGTAAATAATACTAGACAAAAACACCCCATCTGATTGTTGAACCAGCAACCTTGATTTACACTTCTTTTTACCAAACACAGACCACAAGCTATCCTTTTGTATTAATCTCTCAGAATTTGTTTCTATGCCGAACATTTTTAGGAATTTAAGATAATTGTTAGAAATCTAATATTCACAACTTTGAAAAATCTAGTTTTAAGATTAGATGATATTGTTAAAATGTTAACTCTTATAAATGATAAACTATATTTTACAAGTTTTAGGAATATTTCTATCAGGTGAACCAATTAAAGGTCGTTGTGATACCGATATTTTATTTCTGTTAATATCCAACCCTCTCTCCTCTATTACCCTCAGTACAAACAACAGCTGTTCCAAACTGATAAGGTTCCGATGAGACGCCTTAATTGAGAGGTGCCCCGTCATTATCAATAAATTAGAGAAAATCACCTCCGTGTCATCCTAAATAAATTACACTCAAATTCCATTTCACTTCAGGAGGCAGTTTTTCCACTGACTTAAAAAGCAGGGTTAATTTTTCAGATGTAATCTAACCTGAGGCAACACATTGGAGCTACAGAGCTTTCACATCTCTGAGAAACAGACCCAAAGGCTGCCCATAAAAATATAGGATCCAGTATGTATTTCTTAAACAACTAATTTGGCATTAAATATTTCTGGGGCCTCTTTAGTTTTACAAATGCACATTTTAATGCCTGTGTGAGATTTGCAGAGACTTTACCTGCTGGGTTCAACTACAAGATTTGTATTCTTTTGGATTTTGGCTCAGTGTATTATAATTACGATGAATGTCTTCCAGTCATGACTCTTAATGAGAGAGGGTAATGGGACATTTCCTAGGGTCAGATCCTTCCCTTCTTACCCTCCAGGTAATGGAAGTGCAAATGTGAATCTTTAAAACCAAAACAACGGACCAATGAACACATTTGATGCTTATTAAGGATGCTTACAATTTGGTGGATTGCTAGCTTATTTACTCTCATACATGTGGACTGTCATAGAAATTAGTGGACAAGGGAGGAGTACTGTGTATTTCTTAGGTTTGAAGGCAGCATCTTGTCCTCAAACTGCTTTATCTTGAATAAGAGAGGTGATCTCTCGGAGCATCCCCTACCTTGTTGGTTAAATGGTGTAGCAGATTTTTCAAAAACCAAACTCGTTGCAGAATCCCGCGTAAGTGTCCAATGAGTGTGGTGATGTTTCACCAGTTGGTTCTGCCCGAGAGGAGAACAGGATGGTCAGTAGTAGAGCCTAGCTTTATCCCCTTTTCTGTTTTGTTTAAATGTCAGTATAATCTTTAAAAATGAGTTTTATTGATGTTATCATTGACCCAGAATAAAATGCCCATGTTTCATGTGTACAGTTCAGTGAATTCGGATAAAGGTATCTACATGTGATGCCAGCCAACAGAGCCCTGGTAGCACAGTGCTTACAGCACTTGCCTGCAAACAGAAAGGTCAATGGTTCAAGTTCATCAGCCAATCCAGGGGATGGATGTGGCAAGGTGCTTTTCTCCTGCAAAGATCTTCAGCCTTGGGAACCCTACAGGGCAGCCAGATGCCGCCCAACAGCGTTGCTGGGAGCTGGAATTTGGTTCAACTGCACCAGGTTTAGTGGTAGCTCAGTTCTAGCCTCCAACTCAGATACAGCTTTGTATCTTCTCAAAAGTTCCCTTCTCCGTGCTGCCAAGAGCCTGTCATTGATCATCTTACATGTATAAGGGGCTTCAAAAAGATTGTGGAGAAACTCCATCAATTCTGCATAGGAAATCCAGGAAAGGTAAATTTAGAGACAGTAACTGGATGGATAGTTAGTTACCTGGGGTCATGGCAGGGGAGGTGGTGGTGGAGGAATGGGGAGCTAACTACAATGGTAGGAGAAAGAAGAAAATATTATGAAATTGATTGTGGTGGTGATTTCACAACTTTCTTAATATGATTACGTTGTATGATATGTGAGATATATGCCAATAAAACTATTTTAAAAAGAAAAATGTGAAAAAAAATTTTTCTCCTTGAAATTTAAAGATCATTTTTAAGCAGGAATTTTAACTTTTCTTTTTTTATCAATAGGAGTTCCCCACAAAAATCAACATATTTTGTTTCTTCTCTCAATAAAATTTCCATGTTTCAAACATATGCAGGTAGGTGTCGCTGGTCCAGGTCTGTGTGTGTGTGTGTGTGTGTGAAAGAAACAAAGAGAGGGCAGTATCTTCTTCCTTTCATTAAATTTAAGACAACAATGATTGAAAAGAGTATGATTAGGAAACCCCAGAATTAAGAGAGGGTCCTGAAAACGATATTCCTAGTGTAAGTTGATGGAGAAATAAATTCCACACACCAAAAGAGGTAGCAAGGAAACTTGCATGTCTCAACTTTGTGGGTGAAGAGAGGAGAAGAAATCTCCCCTTTATTTAGACCACAAGCCCTGTGCTCTTAGACTGGAGGCCTGAGGGTGTGCTTTCAGTGTGAGCGGAAACCATCCCCTGCAGATTATGGCGTGTGTGCTTCTCTTTAAAGAGTCCTCGGGTCAATCTGCGCCCAGGAGGGTCAGAAGCAGACACAGATGCTCCAGGAATATACCTCCTTTCAGCTCAGGGCACGTTTAGATTGCAATAATGTTTAAATGCAAACTAGCAGGTGTCTAAATATTAGTCATACACAATTTCTAGAAATTAATTAAAGGTGAGAGAGAACTCATGTAGAGCTAGATATATGCACAGATATCTCTGAATACATAGAACCTCAACATTTGTGTACAGCTGTTGAGTCTCATCGTAGGAGGCCTGGTGGTGTCGTAGGTTATGTGTTGGGCTGCTAACTGAAAGATCAGTGGTTCGAACCCACCAGCTTTCCCAAGGGAGAAAGCTGAGCTTTTCAACTTCCATAAAGATTTACAGTCTTGGAAACTCGGTCTTTTCTACTCTGTCCTCTAGGGTCACTGTGAGTCCGTATTGCCTCACAGGCAGTGAGGGCATGAAGATCCATTAATATTACTATGAGATGTATATGCATGTGCTAGAAAGAAAGGACTAGGAAAAAATGTCTGTCTGTAAATACAAGAAAAATTCATTCTTCAGCAGCAGATGAGAGAAGAGACTGTTCTTTGGGAGCAGAACTTCTACGGGTTGGCCATGCATGTCTTACAGCCCTCAACCGTCCCAATACCGTTATCCATTCATACCAAACACCACAAGTCCTGATCCTCAGGAGTTACAGGTCTTAGGGAAAGTTATATTTATTGTCCTCTGAGAATGATTGCATTAGAGACAAAAATAATGGAACACCTATTTCATGTAGTAACCTAATACCTATCTACAGCTTCCATTCTCAGGTCCAGGGCATTCTAAATTAAAAACAGAAAAAAGCATTTGAATTTGTGAGTAATATCTGTGACATTTCACTTCGTGTGCTTTCCCACAGAGGTCACGGCCATCTCACCTGCCCAAGGAAGCCTTCAAGGTGGCACCTTGTTAACAGTCACAGGCCGGTTCTTTGATCAAACTGACTTCCCGGTCCAAGTTCTGGTTGGAGGTATTTGTAAATTTTCATTCTTAATATATGATTTTATAGAAGAACACCCCTGGATTTGGTTTAGCAATTAATAGAGAGAGTAATAACCATTTCTTTATGTTCCAATTTTTTTCTGTATTTTACATTTAAAATGAAGTCTTTCCCCCCAACTACCAGGACCCCAATTCTGCCTTGCAGACCTGGTTAGACCAGATGATGCACAGCGGTACAGATGGGAACTGGAAACGCAGGGAATCTAGGACAGATGAACCTCTCAGGACCAGGGGTGACAGTGGCGATACCAGGAGGGAAGGGGGGTGTAGAAAGGGGGAATTGATCACAGGGAGCTACAGATAACCTCCTTTCTGGAGGACGGGCAGCAGAGGGGTGGGTGAAGGGAGACACCGGGCAGTGTAATATAAGATACAATAATAATTTATAAACTATCAAGGGTGCATGGGGGAGAGGGGAGGAGGAAGGGAGGGGGAGGGGAAAAAAGGAAAATGAGCTGATTCCGGGAACCCAAGAGGAAAGCGAATTTTGGGAATAATGAGGGCAACAAATGTACAGATGTGCTTTACACAATTGATCTATGTATTGTGATGAATTGTATGAGCCCCAATAAATTGATTTTAAAAATTCCACAAAAAAATAAAAATAAATTAAATTTTAAAAAAATAAAAAAATAAAACGAAGTCTTTTTCACAGAGTCTGAGAGTTGATACTTATCCTGCTGCAATATTGCTAACATTTACAGGTCAATTTTAGAGCAGAATTTTTGCATTTAAAAATGAAACAAAACAGAGGTCATGTAGTCTACTGTGACTGGGGTGTGAGCTCTGAGGTCAGCACCAAAGGAATTGTGTGGCAACATGGGGGCTGCCACCTAGAGGGGTGATTTGCCACTTACAAGTCCCACACCACAGTGTAGGGACACACCCATCCTCTGTGGAGCACAATATCAAATGCTTACACTTTCAGTGGGTTGGCTAGCTATGGGGGAATTTAAGGTAGTATTCTGGGACATCTCCTTACACCTATATCATATGTGTACATGGGTTTATTGTGAGGAAGCATGCTTAGACATGTCTCTGTCATCAGTAGACAGCTGCAGACAAGTTCTCTCAGGAATACATTTGTCTTAGACTTGTTAAGGTGTCTCCAAAAGTAGTTCAATCAAAACGAGGGATCTGCTTGGCAGAGGGGGTCAGCTCAGAAGATTTATGGCATCTGCTTTTGGGGATCTTCAAAGGCAGGTGATCTTGTTTGCCTTTCTTGAGGAGTTCTTATGAAGAGGTGTTGAGAAGCTGACAACTGTGGTTGTAAGGAAATGATGAGGACAGGTACAGTGGGTATTGTTTTCCACCACAGCAGTGCACCTGCTCCTTCATAAGTGCAGCGAGGGCTGCCCAATGAGAAGTTCACCAAAACCCTACCCTTCTCCAGCCCTGTCCTTGGCCCCTTCAGCCTCCTCTTTGTTCCCCAAACTCGAAGAACTTTTTAAAGGAATATGACTTGACTCTTTCAAGGATGCCCTAACTGCCCTTGTGATGAGGTATAAATAGAAGGATGCAGAACTCTCTGGGGGAAGGGGCAGGGACATGGACTCACCTTCAGAACTAGATGGAGGTTATAGGACGAAATAATAACTTCCCATTGTGATCAGGGTTTCCAATATTTTGTAGCAATACTTTATGACTTACCTTTATCCTTTCTCACTTCTGAATATCAGCGATTACTGATGGCCTTGGCATTGGGAGAAGTATTAGTGAACGTATTCTGATGAGTAGAGCAATGAAGAAAGGACTGGGGTCTCTGGTATTGCATTACTGTTAATGTGTGCAATCTCCATCTCTTCAGTGGGTTGGAGCTCTCCAGCTCAGAGGGAAGACCGTGGTGAATGTCACGTGAGGAACTTGCCACTGTCTTAATGACCTTCTCTACCCTGAGAAGCTGTAGTCAGCTGAAAGGCTGGCAATTTGAATCCACCTAGAGCAGCGGTTCTCAACTTGTGCGTCGCGACCCCTTTGGGGGTCAAATGACCCTTTCACAGGGGTCACCTAATTCATAACAGTAGCAAAATGACAGTGATGAAGTAGCAATGAAAATCATTTTATATTGGGGGTCACCACCACATGAGGAACTGTATAAAAGGGTGGCGGCATGAGGAAGGTGGAGAACCACTGACACAGAGGCTCCTCTTCGCAGCTTCTCTTCAGTTGAACAACTTGGGCCAGATCAATATTTTTCTTCCCTAAGAAGACTGAGGCATTTTACGCTCAGTGGGTTTAGGAAACTTGATCTTCAAGAATAAAATGTAAGGCTTGACTTTAAAATGAAAATGAAATTGGACCATGGCATAGCTTAATCATTTCCTCTCTACTTTGTTCCTCAGAAATTGTGAAATTTCCTATTTGTGATAGTTTGCCAGGAAAATTTTGCCATGTGGAAGTTTGATGATTACTGAGTGATGAGAACAGAAAGCATGAAGGGGAAATGGAAAGGCCCCAGCATGCCTCTTGCTTGTATAGCTTTTTCTTTTTTCTTCCCACTGAAAAGGCTTCAAGATAATGTGGTTGCATCATGAAACTTCAGTAGTAACAGTTCCCATCTTCCTTCTCACAGGTCAGGTCTGCGATGTTTTGAACGTCACAGAGGGCAGTATCTATTGTAAGACACCCCCCAGACCTCATCCTCCAAGAACTCTATATGCAGGTAAGTTCCGAGAGAGAATAATCATTTCATAAATGAGTATCAACAAATAGAATTAGGAGAAAATATTATTTTAGCTTTGAAAAATTTGAGGGTGATCATTATAATTTTTTACACTACTTGGGTTTGGAAATACCTATATTAAAATAGCTGAACCCATGCTGCACCAAGGATGGTAAGTCCAGCCTGAAGTCCCTGGAGGCCGTACTGAAAATGCCCTGCTTATAATGATGGCATCTCATGGTGTGTTTGTTTCAAATTCAAAGATGAATAGTAAATGCTGGTGTAAGTTATAGAAAGATTTAACAATGAGTTTTCCTGGTTTAAGAAAAAAAAGGAGAGTTTAAATCCTTACTTGTATAGAATGACTTAATATTGAAAATAATGAACAAGTTAAATGCCAGCGAGCTGCTGAATGAAAGGACGGCTGAGGGCCTTAGAGCCGGAAGTGGTGTGTCTGAGGGACTGGATATTCGAGGTACTGGATATACGTTGGTGTGTAGTCTAGCTCTCAAACCTTGTGCACACAGTGTGCACCCCTACTTTTTTAAATGTTAAAAGTGGTTGTGGTAATAACTGTGCACCTCTTCTTGATATGACTGAACTATTGAAGAATGTGATATGTAGATTATTTGCCCACAAAACTGGTTAAAAAGTTAAAAAGTCAATAGAAAACTGCCCAGGGTGTGGGGTGGGGGAGAGAGAAAAACTAACTCAAAAACCCATTTCGCCTTACTTCAAATTTTATTTTAAAATGTAAAATGTTGATCAAAGTTGTAGAGGGGCACACAACATAAAGGCCATTACCCGAGGTGGGGGGTGGGGACAGTGCACTACTGGACACGATGGATGACATCAAGCAATCAGCGGTCACTTTAAAGCGAAGATGAGAAGATGGAGGGGGGTGGTGGTGAGGAAACTAGCATATTGGAAATAGAACAACTGAGGGCAGTCAAAGGGAATGAATGTTGACTGTTAATGAAAACATAACTAATTTCACTGAACAGTTTACATAGAAATTGCCAGATGGAAACTTAATTTACTGTGTACACTTTCACCAACAACACAATAATGTATTACTTTTCTAAAATGTAACATATTAAAATTGTCTACCCCTGTTAACCTGCAGTCCTCATGAAGGGTGAGGAGAGGGTCAGGTCAGAAATTCAGCGCTCCTTCCAGCCCTAGAGAAAGGGAAGCCCACGCGTGTCAGACTAGAACACCAGGGCCCTGTGGTGAATGGTCATGTCCGACCAACTCCCTTAGCACCAGCTGTTCAGCAAATGAAGGAAATGATTCAAATTCTGGAGACTTGCCCAATCCCAAGAACTTAGTATTGGATGGTAGAGGAAGCCAATTAAATGGTTTACCGACCCCTTAAATGTCTTTGTGTTGAATGACATTGATCTGGGGGTTGGAAACATCATTTAAGAACACTGCCGTGTAAAAGCTGTGGCCCTGAAGCCTGGTCTCTGATCAAGGGCAACAGAGAGGAGTCATCATGGGGGCCAGATTCCCCCACAAGTTGAAAGCGATGGAGGAAGGCATGAGCCCTGTCGTTGTCTATTTTGAGGGGAAAGAGGGCAGGGAGTGGAAGAACAAAAAGATAATCACAAGGGGTTCCCTGACAAATGCTGGTACTCCTTTAATGAAAATGTTTTTCCTTTGATTCTGTCTAAGGAAGAGTGAACTCATGCAGCAGAGGGAAGGTTGTTTTAAAAAGGGCAGAGGGCCGGGCCAGAGCGGAAAAAGAACTCCTGGCAGACATCTTCGAAGGAACAGTGGCTGCTCTTTGATTAGTTCTATACCAGTCACTGAGTAGCTTTTGTTACAGTAATGAAGACATAGATTTCTTTAAATCAGTTAGTCTGAGTTTTGATGTGCTGAAACAACATCCGTTGTATCAGAGGTAAAAACCATTGCATTATTGTTCTCATATGGAAAGCACAGACTAAGTGCTGTGTATTTGACATAGACTGCACCATGTAGCTGATCTTTACAGCCACCATGCAAATAGTCTTGTTAGTCCCAGTTTGCGGTTGAGGAACCCAGGGCTCGGAGAAGTGGAATCGCAATAAAGAAACTGCGGGCTGGTTGTCATGGCACTCGGTCCTTTGGGTGCCAGTGTGTGTAATCGATTTCCTTGGGTCCATTGTCTAAAATCTAGACTGAAATAGAACCTCTATAACTGTAATACTAGGCATGCTGGTAAAAACACGTATTCTCTGCTCTTTAGGGGGTAGAGGCCTGAAGCTGGAGGTGTGGAACAATAGCCGGCCCCTCCGTCTGGAAGAGATTCTTGAGTACAATGAAAATACACCGGGGTACCTGGGGGCCAGTTGGGTAGATTCTGTTTCCTATGCTTGGCCCACGGAGCAAGACGCCTTTGTTGCGCGTTTCAGTGGATTTCTGGTGGTGCCAGATTCTGATGTTTACAGGGTCTACATCAAAGGTGATGACCGTTATGCTGTCTACTTCAGCCACACTGGATTTCCAGATGATAAGGTAGGGGTGCCACCGACTATTAGTTGATATAAAAACAGGGTTTATAAAAAACATTATAATGGAAAGGCTATCAGGGGTCCTCAAACTTTTTATAAACAGGGGGCCAGTTCACTGTCCCTCAGACCCATTGGAGGGCCAGACTATAGTTTAAAAAATAACTATGAATAAATTCCTGTGCACACCGCACATATCTTATTTTGAAGTAAAAAACAAATGGGGCAAAATCACCTGGAGGGCCAGATAAATGTCCTCAGTGGGCCGCATGTGGCCCGCGGGCCATAGTTTGAGGACGTCTGGCTAAAATCTTCTCACTTTAATCTACAGACCCATCCTTCAAGGATACACTTACAGGACTTAGTCTTGATTAAATTCCTCAAGGTTCTCTCAGACCAAAATAAGGTTGTATTTTCCAATAATTACCTTCGTCCTACTAAGACAACAATAATACATAAAATCAAACCTGTTGCTATGGAATTGGTTTTTACCTCCTGTGACCCTATTTGCTGCAGACGAAAACCGTTGCATAGTTGTTTGGCTGTAGAATCCTTATGTTGTCAGATAGCCTGAGCCTTTTCTCTGCTGTACCACTGGGTGGAATCAAAGCCACCCTTTAAGTTAATAGCTGAGTGCAAACTGTTTGCTCCACCTAGGGATTTTGCCTCCCATCTGTATCTTTTCCCCATAACAATTCTGTAACAAAGTTGAGAAAATAGTTTTAATGTCAGTTAAAGAGAGAAGGAGAGAATTGGACTTTGATAAATTTCACAAATTCCATTTTGTCATTTTAAACTTGATATCTCATACAGGAAGCAAAAAAAAAAGGAGTTTTTTCTCATGATTCTAGTAATAAAAGTAAAAGTACGACGGCTAACAAATCTTAAATGATAGCCATAGAAACATAATGATGACGTCAAAAAGATTTATTAATAAACTATCTCTCTTTCTCTCTCATAAGGTGAGAGTAGCATATCACTCTGCAAATGCCAACAGCTATTTTTCGAGTCCAACACAAAGTTCAGATGAGATTCATCTTCAGAAAGGAAAAGAGTAAGTTTTCCCCCCATAAACTATTGTGGTATATTTACAACCTATACATGTTTTGGGAAGTTTTCAAATTTTTTTGTTTGTTTTTGGAAGTGATATTAGCCTATTGGCTTGCTTCTTTAAATTTTTTAATTAAAATTTAAAATAAATTTACCAGAATACTGCCAGTTATCTAATCAAGGGTGTTTGGCATCTAAATTATTCCTCTTACAGAAATTATAATAATGTGAAATATACTGTTTTTTATCCTGTTTTGCAACGTTTACTAGGACTTTTTGTTCATCTAGCCACTTGGCTTCTCTGTTCCTAAATGCATCTCTTAAACATTGCTATAGAAAAATCACAAAACTGCTTCAATTAATGCCCCTGTTATTATTTACTGATTCCAGGGTCTATGTAAGCTCTGGGAATGTAATAAAACATCACCTGTCCAGAGAACAGGTGAGGATAATCACAAAATAGCTGATAATTTCATTTATTGGTCACTCAGGATCCTTAGCAAACAATAAGGTAAAAGATATGGTGTACTCTAAGGGCTAACGCACATGGAGAAAGAACATCCAAGAGATGTTGGGATCATCTTCCATTTAGTACTTGTATCTGTTAGCTTTTACATCATAACAAATCACCCCAAGCTTCGGAGACTTTTGAATGATGTGAGAATCAACTTAGAGAATCTCCCAGCTGGTGTCTCCAGAGGTGGAAGCAATGATAACATTGGTGGAGGTTTAGGGAGGGCAGCTGTGAACTTCCAGTCACCTGTAACACCTTATCCTGGGGAAACATTTGTATGATGTGCAAGGGACCTTAGATAAAGAATTCCAAGTGTAATAGCTAAACCCTGCCCAGCTGATTGGAGGATTATTGTCAATCTAATGAATAAGGGTTTCCTAAAGTAAACTTTCATTGTTTAAGTTAGAAACGGAGCCAAGATCTAAGGAATGTGATATTTGGAACTTTCATGCTTGACCTATACAGCCGCTCAATTTGCAAGACATGTGTTAGGTCTGCTTAACAGGGGTCACTTTCTTTTACACATTAATTATTTTACTTCTGTGTACTCTCTGAGTTGTTTGCCAGGGAGCTAATCTTATAATCTATAATGATATTGTATTTTAAGCTCTTTGAAGATAGGAATAGTATCTTCAATAAATATTTCTTGACTAAACTGCATGAATTGACCATGAATGGAGATATCTCTACTGATGTCGATAGCTTACAGACTTTTTTTTTTACATATTAGCAAACTTTTAAAACCTCTTAGTATTTGACTATGTAAAAGTGGAAGCATTAAAATTAAATCATGTAACAGGCAGGTTTTTACATGTGGTACTGACATTTCCAGGAGCTTCTTGTAGCAAAGTCTATGAGCTCTGGTGGCATAATGGTTACTTACACATTGCCTTGCTAACCGACAAGTCAGCAGTTCCAAACCACCAGCTGCTCCATGGGAGAAAGATAGGGCTTTCTTTCTACTCCCGTGAAGAGTTACAGAGTCAGAAACCCACAGAGGCGGTTCTATAGGGTCTCTATGAGTCAGCCTCAAGTCTATGGCAGTACGTTTTTTTGTTTTTTTTGTTGTTTTTTAAGTCCATAGCTGATTATATGTTGGACTGCTAACTGCAAGGCTAATAGTTCAAATCCACCAGTTGCTGTGCAGGAGAACGGTGACCCTGGAAAGATTTACAAGCTAGGATTTACAGTCTAGGAAAACCTAAGGAGTAGCTGTACTGTGTTTAGTGAGGTCACTCTGCATCTGACTGTACTCAGTAGTAGTGGGTACTGGTGGTTAAACTTTTCTCACTAAGAAAAGAATGTTATGAAACATGTTCTGGAAAAATGTTTTCTTTGTCTATGTTCTTTTCCAGGTATTATATTGAAATCTTACTGCAAGAGTATAGTCTAAGTGCTTTTGTTGATGTTGGCCTGTACCAATCTAGAAATGTCTACACTGAACAACAAACAGGAGATGCGGTAAATGAAGAACAGGTTATCAGATCCCAGTCAACGATTGTTCAAGAAGTACAGGTTGGTCTGGATTATAAATCTACTATATTGGAAGCAAATGTACAAAGCTAGAAGCTTTATTTGGTCATGATTCTTATTAGGTAAGATGCTGTTTTGAGGGGAAGTAATCATAGAGTGTTCTAAAATCGCCCATGTGTTGAAATATCTATATTATAAACTAAAGAAGCCATTACTTGGTAGAATTTTTAGAGTTTTAAAATATAATTTTATCATTTGCAGTAAAATGTAACAATGAAGAGGCTTTGAATATCTAAATTATTATGCTTGTCAAGGGATTTTTTTGGCACACTAAACATCTTTTAAAATTGGAAAATAGGTTATAACGTTGGAAAACTGGGAAATGACCGATGCAACTCACGAAGTCCAGAGGATCACGGTAACCAGCCCCTGTGTGAAAATGAGCCCATGTTCACTTTACCAGTACAGGTTAATCCACAGCAGGGAGAAGACCGGTACGTAGCAAGAGCAAGGGAGATTTAAATTCTCTCACGTGTAACTGTTGCTATAACAAAAAGAGTCTTTACTCTAGTTAAAATCTGTGGTCTGAAAATAGCTCCGCGAGTATGATGTAAATAGAAGCAGAATCGTGTGAGAAAAGATGTCCTCTTTCAGTTGAATAGGACAGAAAATTACATCAAACAGTTTTGGGGCACATGCCATCTCTTTTTTCCCTCTAAGAATCATAATAAATTTGTATCGATACATACGTGTATGTCTTTGTATAAATAAGATACTAGAAGATAAATTGGAATAATAACAATATATAACAATAATAGTAAGGGCTTCTGGGGGAAAGGTGGGGGAGGGAGGGGATAAAAGGGGAGCTGATAGCCAAGAGTTCAAGAAGTAAGAAAATATTTAGAAACTGATTGTGTAGCAATTGTACAACTATGCTTGATCTATTTGAATTATGGAATGTTATGATATCTGCAAGAGTTCCCAATAAACTGATATAAAAAAAGTTAAATTCATCATTTTACAGTGACACTTCTCTGAAGTTCTCAAATGAATCGATACATATAATCTTATCGATACATATGATACATATGAACTTATCAATTAATAAACACAATTATATTTCTGTATTTTTAACAAATCTTGGAAATGTTTTATTATATTTGTTCATTGTTTTAATCAGTTAGTAGTAATGAGTACTAATACACTTCTTACTTCTACAAGAATACTTTTTTTTTCCCAAATATTTTTAATGGGGGCTCTTGCATCTCTTATCACAATCCATACATTCATCCAGTGTGTCAAGCACATTTGCACGTATGCTGCCATCATCATTTTCAAAGCATTCTCTTCCCACTTGAGCCCCTGATATCAGCTCCCCATTTCTTCCCCCATCCACCCTCCCCCACCCTCCCTCACGAACCCTTGATAAATTATAGATTATATTTCCATATCTTACATCGTCCTCCATCACCCCTCACCCACTTTTCCATTATTTGTCCCCCTAGGAGGGGTTTATAATTTGATCCTTGTGATCAATTCCCCCTTTTCCCCCTCACCCTCCTCTAATCCTCCTAGTATCTCTACTCTCATTGTTGGCCCTGGGGAGATGGTTGTTTATCTATCCTGGATTCCCTGTGTTGAGGGCTCTTATCTGTAGCAGTGTGCATGCTCTGGTCTAATCCGATTTGTAAGGTAGATTTGAGGTCATGATAGTGGGGTGAGGGAAGCACCAAAGAACTAGAGGAAAGTTGTGTGTTTCCGTCAGTGCTATACTGCACCCTGACTGGCTCATCTCTTACCTGTGACCCCTCTGTGAGGGGATGTTCAACAAGCGGGCATCTAGCTCAGAAGCAACAAAGCCCACATGGAAGAAGCACACCAGTCTGTCTGACACCTGTGTCGATAGGATCAGGTATCAGGCATGTAAGACCCAGAACAAAATCATACCCAATGTGAATGGGGGGAGGGGCATGTAGGGGAGACACAATGCCCATCTGTAGACAACACGAGAATACTTTTACAATAAAATGTGATCCCTTTCCTCAAATTGATCACAGTCTAATTATGTAGTCAATATTGGTAGACCTGAATCTAATTAGAATATAATCTAATTCAACACTGATTTACATAGTTCAGATTATTGGTGCTTCAAAAATTCAAATATAAGGCATCATTGTAGTCTGTGGGCCCCCAAAAGATTCCAAATTTTGTATTAACTTATCCGACAGTCTTGCTGCCTGCTGATGCTTCGGACTTCATGCTGCAGTCAGCCATCAATGGCCTGTGGTCTATAAAACCTGACACGGTTCGAGTGATACGAACACAAAATTCCCAGAGCTATGTCTACCTGGTAACCTTTATTTCAACTCGAGGTAAGCGTGCATTCCGTTTTACGATTCCATAATATCGACTCTAGGAACCGAGTTGAGAGCCTGTGCAGCTCCACTGAAAAGGGAGAATGTTTCATTAAATGACAGAGGAAAAGACTTGAATGCACAGTCTTGATTGCTGTGGAAAAAGAAGGAAATGAAATAATCACGTAATTCATATTTTACCTATCTTTGAAGGAAGGAATAATGTGTAATTCCAATGCATGCACTCCATGTACTGTATGCGCTGCAAATACATTGGCAATGTGATAGCCAACTTTGCAAATTAATAAAAAATAATCCTTTTGGAAATGAATGTTTAGTCAATCAACACTGTCCAGGAGACATTGATCTGGCGGACTCTTCCTGAGGAAAGTATGCTGTGTTCACAGTCACAAGGGACACACTGCATTCCTGGGCTCCTCCCTGCAGTCACAGTGCTCATAAGCATATGAAAACTCCGGGGCAGTCCTTAAAAATAAAAGTCACCTGTGTTTAATGCAGCATTTTCCAAACTCGTTGGACATCTCTACTTCCTCCCCAACCCCAAGTAATAGCTATTGAAGGAGTCCTGGTTGTGTGGTGGGTTAAGCTGTGTGCTGCCAACGACAAGGTTGGCAGTCCAAACCACCGGCCTTTCTGCGGGAGGAAGATGAGGCCATCTGTGTTCACAAAGACTTGCAGCCTTAGAAACTCTACGGAGGAGTTCTCCTGGGTCCTATCGGGTCTTTATGAGTTGGAATCGCCTGGGCAGCTGCAGGTTTGGTTTTGGTTTTGAATAGCTATTGGCTTACTTTTACATGACTATTTTCCTCCAAGGGCCTTTTGGAAGTATTGAGATCTACATTCGTCTTTAAACCTGGCTTGGCAGTCCATTTGGCTAGTTGGCATCTCTAGTTGATGACATCATTTCTTGAATACGTTTGGTTTGTGCTTTGGGCAATCATTATTTTTAAAGTACCTACCTTTACCTCTTGTTCACTATACATCCCAGAATTTATTGTACAATACTGTGTTTATAAAACAAAAGGCAGAACTGTAAATGAATAGCGTTTCATTGGCTGTTTCTGCGGGAGATACTCATTGCTCAAACTTGAGGACCTGTGTCTTCCCCATTCATCTTCGTTTGTTTGTGGGAAACTTCAGTGAAATCCACGTTGGCTAAATAAAGCTATATTAGATAATAAACCAAAACAAAACCCACTGCCAAGTTGATTCCAATCCAAATCAATCCCATATAGGGTTTCTAAGTCTATAAACCTTTATAGGAACCAACAGACATCTTTCGACTGAAGAGCTTTTGGTGGGTTTAAACCACCAACCTTGGGATTAGCAGATCAACACCTAACTGACAATGCCGCCAGGGCTTATTTGTAGGTATACCGGCATTGCACTATTTGTAGGTATACTGGTGTTATACTATTTATTTGTAGGTATACTGGCATTGTAGTATTGTACTATTTATTTGTAGGTATACTGGTATTGTACCATTTATTTGTAGATATACTGGCATTGTACTATTTATTTGTAGGTATAATGGCATTGTATTATTTATTTGCAGGTGTACTGGTATTGTACTATTTGTTTGTAGGTATACTGGTATTGTAATATTGTACTATTTATTTGCAGGTATACTGGTATTGCACTATTTATTTGTAGGTATACTAGCATTGTACCATTTATTTGTAGGTTTACCGGTATTGTACCATTTATTTGTAGGTATACTTGTGTTATACTATTTATTTGTAGGTATACTGGCATTGTACTATTTATTTGTAGGTATACCGGTATCGTACCATTTATTTGTAGGTATACTGGCATTGTACTATTTATTTGTAGGTATACCGGTATTGTGCCATTTATTTGTAGGTATACTGGTATTATACTATTTATTTGTAGGTATATTGGCATGTACTATTTATTTGTAGGTATACCAGTATTGTACCATTTATTTGTAGGTATGCTGGTATTATACTATTTATTTGTAGGTATACTGGTATTGTACCATTTATTTGTAGGTATGCTGGTATTGTACTATTTATTTGTAGATATGCCAGCAGTTTAAAAATATCCTTGGTATTTTTTCACAGGAGACTTTGATCTACTCGGTTATGAAGTATTGGAAGGGAATAACATGACACTGGATATTACAGAACAAACCAAAGGAAGACCCAGTTTGGAGACATTCACACTGAATTGGGACGGCATTTCTTCCAAGCCTCTCACTCCGTGGTCATCAGAAGCTGAAGTATGTTCTGGGGATTCCCCTAACATGCTTTTTCCCCAAATCTTCTCGCAGGCTCCTTGCAGACAGATGGGAAAGAGACATTTCTTCAAACAATCACTATGAATGATTTTACCTTGTGTGTCATGTACATTTTAGACCAAAAGGAGCCTGAGCAACCACACAGCACAACAACTCCCCGTTCTGGTTGAGAGATCTTGAGGCCTTTAAGGCCGTCCTCTTCGACTGCAGAACTCTGTGCCTCGCCATCCCCCTGATGTTTTTATTGTAAATTTTTGCACCTGTAAAAGATGAGCCAGAAACTTCTTCTGAGGTGTAGTGTAGTAAAGGATTACCTACAAAGTATTTGTTAGTTTCAATCCCTTGTTCAATATTCATAGCTCTGAAGTGTCAGCCTTATATAAATATTGCTTTAAAGAAGAGTTACATACTCTCCTACTTGGCACAATGGGTGGCAGCCAACTCATAGTCTGTGAGGAAGGGAAGCAAGGTTGCAAGAACAAAGGGGAGACTAGGAGAGTTCTCCTGTGCTCATACATTGGTGCCAACAGAACCTAATACATCTTCATCTCGGGCAGTTGACCATAGGGAAAGGAAGTTTGCTTATGAGTTACTGAATCTTTGAGTACTGCCCCTAAATGAATCTAAGTTAGTATGTGTTTGATGATTAATGATTATACATTTTCTCAAGCCCATAATTCTAAGTATCAGCAATTGCCATTATCAGAAGTATCATGAAATTGTACTGTGTAAATCAGAATTATTTGTAATGTAAAAGAAATCAGACATCTTGACTTACAGTATCTGTATCTCCTTTTAACAAATAGAATACATTGAGCTGTATAGTCTTTTTCAAAAAGATAATTTCTAGTTAATTGGGAAAATCATATATTTTGAATCTCGTGGGTACTAATTCATTGAGCTACACCTCATTGCTTGCTTTAACAAAACCAAGAAGCCACAATTTGACTCCCTTATAACTTACTCAACGAGCTAATATTAGCCAATGAGGAGCATCAGGCAATATTTAGTTCTGTTACACATCAAATCACCAAGAGCCAGAGGTGGCTCAAGAGCAACTAGAACAGCAACAGATCATTAAAAAAAAAAACACATCGAAAAAAGTCATTGAAAACTTAAATGATCACATATTGAATTTATTTGGGAAATAATGTAAGTATGCCTAAAGTAACTTTATAGAATTATCAGTAGAGTTACTAATGTTCTAACCCCGTATGTTATCAATTTAGTTTCAGGTAGCCTTGGAGGAAATGGTTAGTGCCAAGTGTCCACCGCACATTGCAAATGTTGAGGAAGGATTTGCTGTGAAGTACTTCAGAGATTATGAAACTGATTTTAACCCGGTATGAAATGTTTAATGTTAATGACATGCTAGGCATTTATATAAATCTTTGGAATTTTGTGATACTCTACAGAAAGTCGCACTAGATCTTTTCTATTCAAAGCTATGCAGCACAAATCATTTTGTTACACATGTCTTGGTAAGGCCCCTGTAGCATTTACCTGCATTGTAAAATGAATCAGTCATGAAAGCAGTATTCCCACCGCACTGGTGGATGTCTTGATTCATAGAAAAGAGACACGATGGACAGATGCAAAAGCTGCAGGTCTGACTGTTTCATTGAGATGCAAGCTACATCCTTTTCTCCCTCCTCATCAGCTTCAGCTAAGACGTACACTGTATAGTAGAGCACTGCTTTGCTTTCTGAGATGACTCTTTAATCATTTATTTTTTTCTTGGTGAGATATAAAGATTTTCTTTTATAGACAATAAATAAAGAAAATGAAATATATACTTTCTTTTCTAATTCCTTTTTTGAGGTTTGGGGAAGCCAGGTATTCACTATTTCCAATGGAATACTATATATATATATATATACTAGTTATCCAACTCATATCAATTCCTCAAAGAAAGAAAAACATGAATCTTTAAAAATGAATATCACATGATACTTTATAAGAGTAGATTTATTAGTGATGAAACAGGAAAATCTTACCACAAAGCTTCTTTTTCAACTTAGTTCAATAAATATATGTATATTTTGGTTATTGTGTCCCGAATAGGGAACCCTAGTGGCACAGTGGGATCCCCGTTGGGCTGCTAATCACAGGATCGGCGGTTCAGAAACCTCAGCTACTCCGTGGGCGAAAGATGCCAGGGGCAATACTATTCTGCCCTAGAGGGGCCCTGTGTTGGGCCTGGTAGTCATCAGGAACCAATCCAGTAACATTCATTATGGACTGAAAGAGTGACTTATATTAAGAAGTAATTACACATCAAGAAGGGAGCTCAAGCCCATAGGTCAGATGCTAGTCCATAAGTCCCTCTTAAGGTTCATGTAGCTCCATGCCAGTGATGCATAAAGGTGAACCAGGTGGCAGATGGGTCACAGGCCAGTGGATACAGAAGTGCATGGATCCAAAGTCCATGGGAAAATGGCAGGGCACAGGCTACTCTCAGGGCCCCACATGGCGCCACCCTTCCAGGTAGGCAGCGTTCCATCAGGCAGGAAGGCAGAGGGGCAGAAAGAAAGGCAGTTCTCAGAGTCCCTCATTCTTATACAAAAAGCCATACCCTCAAGGAAGTGTAATCAAGTTACCTCTTGATTGACAGGCTTGGCTCCACGCCTAGCTAGGAGTGTCTAGTTGACATGAAATCACCCTGCTACCAAAGTCCCTATGAGGGAAAATCAACTCGAGCCATGAGTTTGATTTGTTTTTGTTGTTGGTGCACTGAATGTAGTACTCGAAGCCACAAGAATTGCACAAGGGATTTATATTATACTTCATTTCTTATAACAACCACAGTACACATTCTATGTTTCACCTAACCTTAACTATCTGTGTTCCCTACCACTAGGCCCTCTCGTATCTCTGCTTCTTTGTGCACATGCTATCCTCTCTCTAAAACTTCTTGGCCCCCTTTCCCATTTACAAATCACAGTTAACATTTTGTTTTCCTATTTGAGCAGCTCCTATTTATCTTTAAAGCCTTTAAACCTCCTTTGTCATTTTTTTTTCTCTGAATTATCCCTCTTGATGCTTTATGGGGATTTGATGGTCCTCTTCAGCCTTGGATTTATAATAGTTTGTCTATCTCTGATTTGTGAGAACCTGTGTAGAAAGATCGTGTACTATCCTTCACCCCTTGAACCTTATATATAAATAAAAGAAAGCATAAAACGTAACAAAAGTCTGACACATTGTAAACACAGTGTACACATTTGGAATGAATATGATAGGAGACAGATGACCATTGCCCTTCTCCATGGAGTCCATCCGGACTCACAGCAGCCCGACAGGACAGAGCAGCACTGTACCCAAGGCTGTAATCTTTATAGAAGGACCCTGTCACGTCTTTCTCCCACACAGCAGCTGGTGGGTTAGAATTGCCGACCCAACCATTAACTAATGCCCCACCAGGTCTCCTTCAAGGAGAAAGATAGGACTTGGGCAATAGTCACATACAGGTACAAAGGGCTATCGATCAGTGTAAGTGCTTTAGCATTTCAGAGAAGAGAGAGAACATTTGAAATGAAAGGCATTTGGGGAGCAAGGGGATCTGAGCTGGGCCTTGAAGGACTTGGGTGAAGACATCAGGGCCTAAAGCAGGACAATAAATCATGTGTCCATCTGATATCTTACTGCTTCTGTAGGAGCGCGGTAATCGAGGGCAGAAGACAGCTGAGACCGATGCTTATTGTGGTCGTTACTCCCTGAAAAACCCAGCTGTTCTTTTTGAATCAGCAGATGTTAAACTGAACAGACGGCCATATGGAGACATTTTATTATTTCCTCATAATCAGGTAAGCATAACAAAATGATATGCTAATTGAATCAGGAAAACACCTTGGTAATACAATTTCACAAAATTTTAAGGCCAGAAGAAAATAAACATGTGTCAAGTGAAATCTTGTTACATTGGACGAGCATTGCAGTTTACATGATATATGCTTTTATTATTGTCTTTATGGTAATGCTCAAAAAAATAAAAAAGGAAATGTAAATGTAGCACCAGCTATATTGTATTCTGGTTTGTCTCATAATCTTAAAAACAATTTCACATAGGCTTAAATTCGAAGCCAGTATACTTTTCATATGCCACCTTGTGTTTCCAGTCAGGGAAAGGAAAAGAAGTGAGTGAGTGCTGAAGTTGTTCATTTTAATATAGGGTTGTTGTTGTTGTTTTTCTGAAACTACCATTCTCTCGCTTTATAATTCTCCGATTATGATAAAAGTTCCAAAATGTATATTTGACCTGACTAAGGGTTGTGCATTGGGATGCTAACCCAAAGGTCATTGATTAAACCCACTAGTCCCTGCTCAGAAGAACGGTGAGGCTGCCTGCCCCCACAAAGACTTGCAGTCCCACAAACTCTGTAAGGTGCCTACACTCGGAATGGGCTCCCTGGCAGTGGTCAAAGGAGAGGTCAAAGGAGGCCCAGTGATGCAGCCATGTGCTCAGCGGCAAACTGCTATTCCGGACCCAGCAGCTGTTTGCAGAGAGAGGTGGCAGTCTGCTCCCACAAACATTCCCGCCTTAGAAACCCTCTGGGGCTTGTCCCCTCCGTCCCAGGGGGTTGCTGGGAGTCACGCTGACTCCCTGGCAGTGGGTTAAGGAGTTGGGGACTACTAAAGACGGTACTTAAATACTAATAGTTTAGAGTAGTACTTGGTCTTTACAGGTGCCCAGCCTATTCAAACTCAAATTTCGGTTTGAATGGAAGGTTTACCTTCCCTCTCTTTACATGTGAAATGGACTTAAAAAAAATAATTTTATTGGGGGCTTATACCACTCATCACAATCCATATGTACATCTATTGTGTCAAGCACATTTGTACATTTGTTGCAAAATGGACTTTTATTAATTCATGAAACATTTCAGTTAGAGCTGGACTTGATTAATACATCTGTCTGTAGGGAGTGAATAGTTCCCGTTAGTACACAATAGCTAACAAAGCAATCATGCTTATCTATTAATTGTTAGGTCACTTGAAGTTCACATTATTTCTGAGAAAACCTTTTTGAAGTCGTGTTTTTCATGGTCAGAGGCTGAAATGAATCCTTCCTTGCTCGATTTTTTATATATTTTTATGGGAAATAGTCAATAAATATTTACTGAGTTAGTTTGGATTGCTACCAAACAATACAATGATAAGATATTATTACTGACTCTCCCTACCTCCACCCCCCGTTTCTTATGTAGTTATGTTTAGCATATAAAGGATTCCTGGCAAATCATATTGGCCTAAAATTCCAATACCAAGACCACAGCAAGACTACTAGAAGTATGGATGTACAGTTTCCATTTCACTTTGCTTCTGGAAACAAGTAAGTTACTCCACGAATTAAAAAATGTAAGTTATACTTACTATGTAAACTATACAGAGAAAAGAAACTCATGTCATGCCTTTTCTTCTTTTGGTGTAACTCATGCACGTCATGGATCTAACTGCAATTTTTCTTGCCTCAACATATTTCCTAACCAAAATAAGTGTGCCAAAAGGAAATCCTTAGACTGTTGCCAGTATCATTTCCAAAACATTTTCTTTCTACTTGAGCCCTTGGTCTCAGCTTCTCTTTTCCCCCTCCCTTTCCTACACTCATGAACCCTTGATCATTTATAAATTATTTTTATTTTCATATTTTACACCATCCGCTGTTTCCCTTCACCCATGTTTCTGTTTTTCGTCACCCGGTTTGAGTCCAACTTTTGCAAAGATTTGCTTGCATATCTCGAAATGATTTCTAGTATTTTCTCCTGTCATAGCTACATGAAAATCTGTATCTTGTGTAGAATTATACAGTTTACGTTCTATTTTACAGTTGGGTGCCCTAGAATCAATTCTTATAGCAACAGAGTAGAACGGCCTCTAGAGCAGAGTAGAATTGCCCCATTGGGGTTCTTTGCCTGTAATCTTTACAGAAACAGGCAACTACACCTTTCTTCCACAGAGCAGCTTGTGGTTTCGAACCTTCATCTTCTGGTTAACTGCTAAGCACTGAACCATTGTGCCACAAGGGCTTTAGGTTATGTTTTTAGTTTCCTTATATTGTGGTATATGAAGGGCATTATTCTACCCTCAGCATAAGGATGAAGCTATGATAACTCAGAACTACCAGGTATGGAATATATATATATCAGAATCAGTGCCTCCCCTTCACTTTGAGGCAAGAGTGGGAGGGGGAGAGAGATAACCCAGAGTTGGAAATAGAACCAAATACTAGCTGTGAATAAAACAAAAGCAAGAAATAAAAACAAGGTAGATGGCAAGGAGTTCGAATGACCGAATGGGAAGAGGATTGACTGGGAAGGACTGACTTGATGGAGAGGTTTGTTTCTGAATGAGGATCAGGTCAGTGAGCTTGTTTTCCCCATCTGCACCTTCACACTTTCTGACGTGTCCATTATTTCAAAACTATTTTTTTATGCCTTAAATGGGGTACCATTTCTATAATTTTTGTTTTTCTCTCTCTTTTGCCCACTACTGTTTTCCAGCTGCAGTGGCAAGCTTTCATTCCACACCATTAGAAAACCTTTAATAACAAGGTCATGCTTCAAGAAAAGTACATTCCATATTTCTTCATAATATATTAGACCTGAAGGATGACTTCGTTTATTAAGGTTTTGAAAACTTTTAGTATACCAGACTTTAAAGTAGTGTTTCTTACAACTTCAAATTATATAATTAGTAGCATAATTCTGTTTAGATGTCCATATATATGTATATATTTTAAATGTAAAGAGCAGTTTAATTTAAAGTAACCATGCATACAATTTTCTAAACTGGCATGTGCAGTCTAAACTTGACTTCATTAGAGGTGGCGCCGATGATGAGTTTGTGAACCTCACAGAAAATGAAGATAAGAGACAAAACAACTACTCAGGGCGGCAGATGGAGATTATCGTGACCACTTAATTTAGTTATTTGGATAATAGTGTTTATCTCTTCATCACAACTTTTCATAGCTGAATTGCTTGACTACAATTTATAGGATTCCAGTGCAGTTAGTATTTGATGGAAAATCGGAGTCCCCTGACAGATTTAATAGTACTGTCGGGAAGCGAAGGAGCCCTGATGGGGTAGTGCTGCCCACTGGGCTGCTCACGGCCAGGCGAGCAGTTTGAAACCACCAAGCTCCAAGGGAGAAAGATGGCTTTCTTTGACACTCACAGGAGGCGTTCTATCTGTCCTCTCCTATAGGGTCGCTATGCATTCGCATCCACTGGATGGCAGGGAATTTGTTTTTTTGTAGACAATCTTAAACCTTTTAGTACCAGTGTTAGTTCTGCCCCCTGTGTCTTAGTCTGGCCACTTTTCTGTGCTAATGAAATCCTTGTGAACATTTTCTTTCATTCTTTAAGCTTTTAAAGTTTTTAATATTACATTTGTCTATATTAAAATGATCTGTACACCTAATTTTAACTAATCGTATTTCAGCTGGACCTATACTTGCATAGACCTTCTGGACCTTGTACAAACCAAATATGCTGGCACTCGTTTTTCTCTTCAAAGGATTGGCTTACAGAGAGCATCCCCATCACAGTCCTTCTACGTGGATATCGTTTATGTTGGACAGACTCCTACAGTCTCATCATGGGAGGGTATTTTGTTTTATTTCATATCTCCTTATACCTTTTACCTCTATGTTGTAGTAAAATGTTACCACTGTAGTGATACCTGCATCTTTAATCCAAACTTTCTCATTGGGACAAGAATTCGTTTTATAATTCTGAGTTCTACTTAAGAATAAGGAAATTACCACAAGCCTTTCAGTTTTGTTATTTTATCTTTGAGAAACTAAATACCACCATGTGGGAGATCAAAAGGCAACTATTGACCTTGACATCTGTTGAGTAAGATTGAACTGAAACTTTCTATAGAACCAATCATGGTAACTAATAATATAATATTACAAATAAAAACTTTAATGCCAGCATTGCTATTTTAGGCAGGTTAGTAGACTCATGCGTGTATGCAATATGATCATAAAACATTTCTTTACTGCCTTCTTTGAACATCAACAGATCTCCAAATAACCAAACAAAGCAAGCAATTGCTGTTGAGTCCGTTAGACAGGACAGAGTCGAACTGCTCCAGAGCATTTCCAAAGCTTTCCCTCTTTAGGGAAGCAAACAGCCCTATTATTTCTCCCTGAGGAGCAGCCGATGGGGTCCATCCGCTGATCTTTGGGTTAGCGGTTGAGTGATGAACAATTGTACCACCAGGACTCTCCCCTAACTCCAAATAGCCACCTGAAAAGGTCACTGCTCCCGATTTTCAGAGGCGTTTGGAGTCCTTTCCATAATCTAGTTTCAGGTTACGAGTCAATGGATAAGAAAAGCTGAATATTACTAGTTCATAGTCACACCCTTTGAATCTGCCATTACAAGTCCTATATTATGACTGGGGGACAGATGCGTGAAGCAGCAGGGATATGATGGTAAGAGTGATGGAGGTCATTCAACATCATTCATTCAGCCCTTACCACATGTGCAGCACCGGGTCAGGTACTAAGTGAAGAGCAGTGAACAAGCAAAACAAACAAACAAGACCAACCAACCAAATCCCCTGCCTTCATAGCAACCCAGCAGGGCAGGATAGACCTGCCCCGGTGAGTTTCGGAGACTATAACTCTTCATGGGAGTAGAAAGCCTTGTCTTTCTCCTGCAGAGCAGCTGGTGGTTTCAAACAGCACACCTTGAGTATTGCAGCCCAATGAGTAACCACTATGCTACCATTAGGCAACTGGTCCACAGGGAGCTTCATGGACCCAGGGCTTGGTGTGTTTTAAATACTTTGTTTTGTTTGATGTGATGTTTATATGTTGGAAGACATTAAAGATTTATATTTTATAAGTGTGAGTTTACTAAGCTTCCCAGATTACTTTTCTTTTCTTTTTTTTTCTTCTTTTTTTTAACATTTTATTAGGGGCTCATACAACTGTTATCCCAATCCATACACACATCAATTGTGTAAAGCGCATTTGTACATCGTTTCTCAAAACATTTTCTCTCCATTCAAACCCCCGACATTGGGTCCTCATTTTTCCCCTCCCTCCCGCTCCCCCCTCCCGCATGAGCCCTTGATAGTTTATAAATGGGTATTTTGTCATACCAGATTACTTTTCTATGGCCTGTTCTATGTTGTGTTATGATTTTCTTGTTAGCAACAGAAACTAAGAAATATTATCCCCCATTTTCTTTGTTTACTTATGTTCTTTAGAAATGCACAAGAGAAGACTACCAGCATTAGCAAATAAAGGAATATTCCTACAGCACTTTCAGGTTAATCAGAAGAAAATAAATGGATCAGCTAGGACCACCCAGTATTCGGTTATGATGACGGTATACAATTGCAGTTACAATATCCCTATGATGGCTGCCAGTTTTGGGCAGGTAAGGCAAAATCGGGGCCATCTTACAGAGCACTAGTTTTGATGTAATAAACTTTTCTATTTTGAAAATAGCTCACATACAGGTCACACAATAGGACAGGGCAATTATTCTAAGGATCAATGAAGATTTAGAGACTTTTTCTACACGAGCATGAAAATTCCCTCTAAGCCTTAGAATTTCTTCAAGCAATAGATCTAGGGCGCAAAAAGGAGAGTTGATTCAATTTAAGCAGTATTTTATTAGTTGCCTCAAAAGGAAAAATGTGTACTCTTCCAGCAAATATCTTGGAACTGATATATTTGAAAGAAAAGTTCAGATTCGACATTGAGGTGAAATCGCGTCCTTTATGTATACACACCACTCCTTTTTAATTGTAGCAACATTGCCTCAGAAGGAAAGAAGCTGGGGCTCCATCATTTCAAAAGGAGCAGAACCATGTTTTGTACTGTTTGTGTCATTTAGAACAGAGTCAGCAAATTTTTGAGATGGTGGAGCCAATCGTGTCCTTCGCCACAATTTAAAACATTACTTGCAGGCTCTAAATATGTTTTCCAGCAAATGAAGTTGCCCTTATCTGAAGCACAGCCTTTGAAAAGCTTCCGTTTCCCTTCAAAGCCACATCTACAAAAGAGCCACGTGGGGCTCGAGAGCCACAGTTTGCCACCCCAGATTGAAATGATCAGGAATTCATTAACTATTGCAGCGTAAGATGAGTCTTTTAAGTTTAGCTCCCTATAAAATATAAACGTGTTAACATAGCTTCCCACAACAAACAAAAGCAAGTATGCATGACAGGTACAAGGTTAAAAATTAAGCAGGACTTAACCTGGGAGGAACCCTGGTGGTTCTGTGGGCTAAGCATTGGACTGCGTGCCTCCGAGTCGATGGTTTGAACCCACCGGCAGCTCTGCTGGAGAGAGACGAAGCTCTTTGCCCCCATAAAGATGTGCAGTCTTGGAAACCCTATCTAGAATTGCTATGACATGGAATTGACTAGATGGTGATAAGTTTGGCTGTGGTTTTTATAGTTATACTGGGTCTCACAGAAAGAACTTTTTACTGACTGAATCGACTCCTACGCGCCTTGATTAATTTTGCCTGTTTTAAAGCTTCCTACCTGTGGCATGACACACTTTGTACTTTTTGAATTTCATTGCTTTTAACCTCAGGGCCAAATCATATAGGGACATTTTTGTACCTATGTTGTGTTGCTTATATTTAATCCTTTTGTGGGATATGGGACTTAGCATTTTACATTCTGCAAGATTAAACGATAGCAAAGTGCTGCCAGAAAGTGGTTGAATTCCTACAGTACTTTCGCTTCCATCACTTGGTTGACATTCACTTAGTGTGAAACAAGTGCTTCCTGCCTCTGGGCCACTCCACTGATCATATCCTTCTTTGAGTTTTCATGTCTCTGTATGTTATTTTACCAAAGACAGTTTCAGTTTGCTGATAGCCAAGAATGTCACTCACACTTTTTTACCTCCCTCCAGTGATTATCACTGTACTGGGAAGAGACTGCCTGTTGAGGGCTGTGTATTTCTTGGGGGCGGGGAGGTGCATTCGGAATTCATGAATGAGGTACTGCCACACAGATGACTGAGCTGATGTTGGCCTCCTTACTGCAGCCACGCAGGTCTGGCCTGTGGTGATTTATGGGGCTCTCTCGGATGCGGTGAAGAATCTGAATACATTAGGCTCAGTTATGTCATGTCACAGGTTTGTACTATGCTCACATAGAAATCATGTTAGCCAGTTTTGAGTTTAATCGTTTTATCAATATTTATTTTGGAAATTAGATAATTACAAATGAGACAGAGAATGAGTCTGTTTACAGAGGAAATAATTGGCCGGGGGAATCTCAGATTCGCATCCAAAGGATTCAAGCAGCGTCTGCTCCTCTCCGTGGCACCTTTGACCTTCGAGCTTACGGACGTGTTCTCAAAGGTATATGGAAAATAGCCGGGACATTTGTGCATGTGAATATACGCTCTCTAATGCGATCAAACGCTGTTACTTCGCTTGAAGAATTATCACTTGCTATTTCTTTTTGGTTCTCTCTTTCAAATGATGTTAAAACATGTATCACATAGCATTTGCCAATTCAACCGCTTCATGAGTGGACCGCAGAAGCAGTAATTACACTTACCAGGGTGTACAACCATCGTCACATGCCATCTTTCATTTTTTAAAATTTATTTTTAATTGAGAGTTAATACACATAGCTTATCATTCCGTCGTTCAATCACATCAAGCAGTGTTGTACAATTGCTACCACAGTTTCCAAACATTCTTTTCCTTCCTGGACTCCTGGACATTGTCTCCCTGCTACCCCCCACCATCAGCATGGTAGCCCTGTCCCCACCCAAAACCCTTATTCTACTTGATGTTTCTATGGGTTCATCAATCTTGGGTTTCATATAACTGAAAACAGAAAAAGATAGAACACAATTTTTTAAATCAGTGTCCTTTATACAACAACTCCCTATTTCCTTTCCCACCTGTCCCTCGTAACCACTGATAAACTTTGGTCTCTCTATATTTGCCTATTTTAGATATTTCAAGTGAGATTATATACAATATTTGTCCTTTACATCTGAATTCTTTTTTTCTGTTCATCCAGTATGTCGCGCATAGCACATATTCCGTGCTGTGTACATCCCACATGTTGTTTATCCGTCCGTATGTTGAGGCACCTTTGAGTTGATGGGCCATTGTGAATACTGCTGCAATGATCAGTGAACAAATATAAGTTTGTGTCTCTGTTTTCAAGTCTTTTTTCATTGAAGTAGAATTGCTGGGTTACTCACTGTTGTTTCTCTCCTTAAATGTGTAATCATACTAGTACATGAATATTAGTGTATAACATATTATAGTTTCTTCATGGCCAATTGTAGTGTTTTCATTTTATGCCCTTTTGAAATAGATAAGAATAACACACTCATCCAAAGATAACATTTTAAATAGTAATTATTTTTACTTTTTCTTAAACATAATATACAACTCTAAAGTCATTTATTTGAAAGTGGCTGAAACCATTAGTTTCTTTAGTTTTATAGACTTTGAAAATAACATATAAAATTTTTAAATGATTGTTCATTACTGAGGTGACTGGAGAAAGAATAATACTACAAAAAAAGGGAAAATTAGAATATTGCCTTTATCATTAAGAAGTTATTTACCCTTATTGAGTTGGTGTATTTTAAATTTTTTCTTTTTTTTATAATTCCTTTTATTTGTTGTTGCTACACACAGCAGAGCACATACCAATTCAACAAATTCTCCATGTACGAATCAGTGACATCAGTTACGTTCTTTGAATTGTGTAGGCATTTTCACATCTCTTCTCTGATTTGTTCCTTCCCCTTAGAGTAAATTTACTACCCTTTAAGGTTCTGACCTAATCTTTTTAGTTACTGTTCAATTTGATACCAGATAGATAGACCTTAAAAGATCATAATGTTACAGGCAGACATTCTTGATTAGTTAAGGAAAACTTGCGTTTGGTTTTAAGATCTCTGGGGATGTTCTTGGTACAAGGTTTAAGATTAACTCAGGATAATACTTTTTAAGAGTTATCCAGCCTCTATGGCTCCAGAAAATCTGGTGGCTGTAAGAATTCAAAACTCCCTTCTGCAGTTTTATCCTTGTGATCAGGATTCTCCTATCAACTCTTTGGTCACAATGCTCAGTCATGGTAGCTGGACACCATCTAGTTCTTCTGGTCTCATGGAGGCAGCTGTTCAGGGGCACAGTTCTGTTCCCCCTCCTGTTCCCGACACTTCCATCTTCTATCATTCTAGATCGATAATGGCCTATTGCTGTACTTTAAGGAATACTATTTTTCAAAGACAACTGTGGTCGAATAATCTAGAGCTGTTCTGTCCAATGTGAAACCCATGAGGCTCACATCATTACTGAGCATTTGAACATGGTTAGTATTACATGTTAAATAAATAACATTTTGAATATAATGATGAGTACAAAAAATTGGCAACTAACTGAAAGGCTGGTGATTCAAACTACCCTGTTATGGAAGAAAGAGCTAGTGGTCTGCTCTGTAAGATTACAGCCAGGAAGACCCTGGGGAGCCCAGTTCTACTCTGACACACATCAGTTTGCCATAAAATCGATCCAGTGGTAATAGGCTTTTATATAATCATTTAAATACAATGTATTATTGAAAGTCATTTTATTTAGACTTTTTGTTTTAACTTTTAAAGTATAAGGATTAGAAAAAAATTAAAGCTGTCTATGGCTTTATACCTTTTGGACAGTGCTGATCTAGACAACTGTTAAAAACATTTCAGTATATTTTTTCTAGTACTATTTATTTACATAATTTATATAGTTGAGAAGATGTGATGCTAAATGATCCAGAACAAACATTTTAATTTTTTATTTGCTTCCCTGCCTCATCAGATATGAAAGTTTACATTTCACAAGTGTGTTGCTCATTCATAACCACGACTTATAGATTATCTATCAAAGGAAGTGATTGCTTTATAGAAGACTGACTGTTCAGTTTCCTTCTGCGAGCCCAGGCCTCCCTGCTGCCGTGTCAGCTGCGGATTTGCAGTTTGCTCTCCAGAGCCTGGGGGCAATGGGACACGTCTCCGTGACTCGAGAGGGAACCTGTGCTGGACACTCATGGAACATCAAGTGGAGGAGCATGTGTGGGAGGCAGAACCTGCTGCAGGTGCTCTACTCTGTGCTTGTCCCTATGTATTGTTTGCTGATTTGTACTCTGCTTCATTCCAAAGAGAAGATTAACTTGTGTATATATATATACAGACCTATGTGTATATAGAAAATGATCGACAAAAAATAGAAGGGGAAGTAAAAGAGATATGCTCAGGAAGATGAGTATTTCAGAAAAGCCTTATTATTGAGTGCAGGAGGAATGTTGGCAGATCCACTTTCAGAACTAAACCTGCTTGGGGACCAATCTCACTGTCGATAGTTCTAACAGAGGAGCTGTGTTTTAGGGCTACCAATCGTGTTTAAGTTCATAAGTGAGTGACACCATGGGCTGTCATCTAATTGCTTTGTTGAGGGTGGAAAGGAGTTGGGGAAGAGGTCTGGGGCCCAGAGTACTTGAAGCAAGGAGTCTACAAGAGATTGAAGACACAGTCTCTCTCATGAACTGGTGGGAATAAAGGAAATTATTATAACTTTCTTGATGGATAACTTCCATATAGATATTCTATAGTTCATCAATCTCAGTTATATAAATTTTTAAAAATCATTTTATTGGGAGATTATAGAACTTATCACACTTCATACATACATCCATTGTATCAAGTACTTTTGTACATATGTTGCCATCATTTTCAAAATATTTCTTTCTACTTGAGCCCTTGGTATCAGCTTCTCATTTTTCTCCTCCTTCCCTCCCTCCTGAACCCTTGATAATTTATGAATTATTATTATTTTTTTCATGTCATACACTGACTGCTGTCTCTCTTCCCCCACTTTTCTGTTGTCTGTCCCCCCGGGAGGGAGTTACATGTAGATCATTGTGATTGGTTCCCCCTCACTTCCCCAACGTCCCCTTCCCCTCCTGGTATGTCTACTCTCAATGCTGGTCCTGAGGGGCTTATCTGTCCTGGATCCCCTATGTTTCCAGCCAGTCAGGGTGCAGTATAGCACCAATGAAACATGCATCTTTCCTCTCGTTCCTTAATGCTTCCTCTACTATCCCCTCCCCACTATTATGACCCCCAATTCTGCCTTACAAAACCAGCTAGACCAGAGCATGCACACAGGTACAGATAAGAGCTCAGTTATATAATTTTATCATACTAAAATTATATAAATGTGGCACGATATAGTCACTGCATTCTTTTTTTGAATGACAACAAAACCCTGAAAACTTATTTAAGTGGCACAGCTTTAGCATGGAGACTCAACATACACCTCAAAGATGGCCAGTACCTAAAGCAGAAATAAAAGGCAGACTTACTTATAGAAACATTTCCGAAAAGGAGAAAAGGCAAAAAAGGGGGGGTAGAGATAAAGAAACCGAAAAAAAGCTACATACATGGAGGAAACAAGTCTGCATGGATACGCAAAATAGTCAATAGTCAGGAGATTATTTTAAGAAAACACACAGACTAGACTAGATTGGAAAATTCAGAAATCAGGACCACACTTCGTTTGCTCCAGCAATGTCGCCTTCTGTGGGTCTCTTCCTCTGTTTGTGCATCTCGCCTGCTCTCATTGGACCAGGATACGGCGCTTGCTCATCACTTCTGTTCTCTCCTCACTGCCTCAAGCGTGGTCCAGCATGAGGGCACCATAGTAGCAGAGGAAGCTGGAATGAGCAGTGTGGTATATAATGCCTTGATTTGGTTTTATTTTTATAAATGAAAGGAAACATCATCTCAGAAGTGGGAGATAAACCAACATAGCCTCACATGAAAAATGCTCACGGGAAAAAGTTGACGCTCGGGAAGAAAGATAATTCAGTGCTTCCATTATTTAACAATCATTTACCAAAGTGGCCGTCTTTTGAAAAATAATGGAACTTTTTTAAAAAATTGCATTTGGTAAACTTGGGAGAAAGATTGGGTTTTCTACTTTCACGTAAAATTACAGTCTTGATGGTCACTATGAATCAGAATTGACTTGCTGGCAGGGAGTTTTGGTTTGGGTTTTAGTAAATTTATTTTCTTTAGACACAATTTATTAATTCTGTAAATTAAGTTAACAACTCCACTTAATATTAACTACAAAGTTGTAATTAATACAATGCATGATACCACAATGGTCGTACTAATATTTCCCTTGAGTAAATTTGTTTGTTTACTTAAGAGACATTCCTTTTTCCAGACATGCGACAAAGTGGTTTTGAATTTTTTTCCTTACATCTTTTAGCTTAGGTCCATTTTCGAATGTGTTTAAATTTGAAAGAAAAATTAATGTTATCATGTTTATTATAGTCTTTTTGATGAAATGATTTTGTGTAAAAATAGGTGGATGATTCACACATTATGGGAGAAAATGCTAAGGTAACCATTGCAAAGGTAAAGGACGGTGGCTTATTCAGACAACACATTCTTGGAGACCTGCTTCGTGTACCCAGCCAACAGCCACAGGTATTTCTAAAATGTTTTTCTCATGATATTTAACATAATGTTAAATGTATAACTTACATGTCATATACTAAAGAACTAGGAAAATATGCACGTGTGACACGTTTATTCATGTTACCCGTTGACCAGCTGAAGAATACGATTGTCATCCTTGCGGGTCATTAGGAGATGGCAAGGAGCCTGTGGTACTGTGGGCTGGTCATTGTGCCGCTCACTGTAAGGACAGCCATCTAAGGCCACCAGACACTTTGCAAGAGAAAGACGCAGCAGTCTGCTCTGATAAGGATCAAAATAGATTTATTGAAGGCGAGACTAAGTTTAAACTGAGGATGAGCGGGGGCCACAAAGTGAACTATACTCCCTGAGGAGTTCAGACAGCTAGGCAATAATGATCCTGTTAAATCAGGAATTAGCTACGTCAGATGGCAAATGACCTACGTGTCGTCACCGTGGCTAGGTGGTGTTGAGTCGATTTTCACGTCTCCAGATCCCAAAGGAGAGAGTAGGATTGCCCCATAAGATTTCGGCAAAGCTGTGATCGTCACAGCAGCAGCTCGCCAGGACTTTTCTTCCGTGGTGTGGCTGCTGGGTTAAAACTGCTCTTCTTTAGGTCAGCTGCCAAGTTGCTTAGTCATTGCACCAAAAGGCCACCTATTGGCTTCCTAATGATTGCTAAAAGTCAACGGCAGGTTAGGAAAAGTGGAGGCTTTGCAGTAATTTGTTAAAAGAGTCTTTTTTGATGAGTTACTTTTGGTAGGTTTTTTGTTGTTGTGCTTGTTTTTTAGTACTTGGTGATGATAGGAACCCTTGGGAGGAACTGAGAGTATTAACAAAGCAACCATAAAACATTTTTTTCCTGCTAGTGTAGCTTTATTGTACAGTGTAGTTCATGGGACTAGCTTGTATTAACTTGATTGCAAAGAAAGCATTTTGTTAGAGGCTAAGTTTTCTGTTGAAGTTTAACTTCTTATAATAAAGCAGGTCTTTTCAAAATGGAGTTTAAGTCCAGGCCCATAAGCAGCCGTTTTTTAGTTAAGTCAAGTGCCCCAGAGACTTACATTTCAGGATGCTCCGTTGTTTCATTTCTCCCTTTTTTTTTTTTTTTTTTTTTTTTTTTTCATTTCTCCCTTTTGATCAAGCATTTCCATGAAAATTCTTTGTTCACTCTTGGAGATGTTTTACCTCTTCCTCTTGCATTAGCTTAGGTTCTTGTCTTTAGAGAGTCATTCCAGCCAATTTTATGATCTTGTTGTTGTTGTTGTTGTTGTTGAGTGCTGTCAAGTTGATTCTGTCTCATAATGAAACATTGCTCTGCCTCATATTCACCATCAAGTTTGAGCCCACTGTTGAAGTCATTGAAATAGTGATCATTCTTTCTTTGATTACTCACAGAGGAGTAATTTTCCTTAGTAAGGACAATACATTAAGCTTTTGTCTTATTAAGATTTTGAGCCAGCTAAATTCAGGAAAACAACTTTGGCATAATTAAAATAGGTTTGTCTCAGGTAGGAAGCTATTTGAAAGCGCAATTTGTTAATATGCATAATTATTTTCATAGTCATTGTAGAAAGGGTGAAAGTGTTTGATATATATTTTATAGAACATTTCATTATATTTGCAATAATCAAAACAAAAATAATTCCTCTAGTGAGTAGATAGATCTAATCCATGGTTCAACACTATTTCGTAAACCATTAAAGATGCCAAAGAAAGGACCGTCATGGGACATATTGAACGTAACCATGTAACTTCATGGTGGACCTTTGTTAGGTCTTATTCAGTTTCTTCAGAGGTAGTTACCAACGAACAGTAAGAGATATTAACAGTGAAAGTTTCTCCTTGTCTAGCCAAAAGAAAATCTAAAATTACTATATTTTTAACATAGTATACTGAATGTGGGGAATGAAGCCCAAAGACTAACTCCACCATGCCTATATTGGCAAGACTTAATAATTCCTAATGCAGTCAATAATCTATCTGCAATAAACCATATATGGCTCTTTTAAAAGCTCTTTCAAATTTTAGAGTAGCAATGAGTATAGCTGTACAATTTTAAAACTCCAGCAGTAGAGCGGTCAGCATGATCTGTCGTGGACCGAGGAGAAGAGCGATATCCAGCAGTCTGTCAAATTGTCAGCGTAACTATGTTCTTATCCAGGTGGTCTATTCAACTAACGCAATAGGGACACATGTCTTCCTAAGTGATAGAAGGAGTTAAAGAAAGTGGTAAAAGGAAATTTTCTGAAAAGCCTTCAGAGTGGAGGGAAATAAAGTAACATAAAAATAATTACTATAACAAAATAGACCTTTTCAATGATTTTCATGGAGGAATACAATACCATTAGAGAACAACGCTTGCTGTCAAAACAAAGCAGTTTCATATGAAAGGCATTGTTAAGAAAGTGCCTTATTTTATGAGTTGCCTAAGACTGAATGAATTTAAAGTGTAAGACAGCTATCAGGATAAAAATGGCTATTATAATAAAAGCAAAGAAATACACATTTATATGAGCAATTTGCATGCATTATTCTAACTAGCTGATGACTCTATGTTTATAAAACAATACATTTTCAAAGACATCAAGTATAAAATAACTTGTTATAATAAGACAGGGCAATACCTTTACTAGTCTACATGAATTCTTGTCTATGTTGTTGGATCAGCAGTCTACTCAACGCCATCTATTTTAGGCCCTGGGCATATTTAAGGGTCTACTGTGCCAGGAAAGACAAACTGAAGGGGGAATGGTATTGTATTCATCATTAAATAGAACATTTCAAGATCTGTCATGAAGTATAACATTGTCAGTGATGATACACTAGCCATACGCCTTCAACAAAGACCAATAAGTGACTGTTATCCAAATTTACCCACCGAACATTAATGCCAATGATGAGGAAATTGAAGCTCTTTACCAACTTCTGCATCCCCCCCAAAATGCATTTATGATCACTGGTGATTGGAATATGAAAGTTGGGAGTAAGGATCAGTAGTTGGAAAACACAACCTTTGTTTGGGATATATATAGCCTTCACGTGAGAGAACGTAACAAAATTTAGGAAGACCAATGACTTATGTGGATCATCTCAAACTGTGGATCACAGAATGGGACTCCCAGAACACTTCATCGTGTTTATGTGGACCCTGGACATAGACCATGAGGCAGTCATGCAAACAGAACAAGGGAATATTGTAGGGTTTAAAATGAGGAAAGGTGTGTGTCAAGGTTGTATCCTTTCATCACATTTATTCTATCTGTATGCTGAGCAAAGAATCCAAGAAGCAGGTCGTTATGAATAAAAGCACAGCAGGAAGATGAAAGGAAGACGAATTAGCAGCCTACCATATGCAAATGACACAATCTTGTTTGCTGAAAGAGAAGAAGATTTGAATAATTTAATAATGAAGACCAAAATCCACAGCCTTCAGAACAGATTAAAACTCAATATAAAGAGGACAAAAATCCTCATAACTGGAGCAATAGACACATCTTGATAAATAGAGAGTAGAATGAGATTGTCAATCAACACTCATGGAAGCAAGTCAAGAAATCAAATGACATATTACATTGAGCAAATCTACTGCAAAGGATTTCTTTAAAGTGTTAAAAAAGCAAAGACGTCACTTTGAAGACTCAAATATGCCTGATTCTAGCCTGGGTATTTTCGATTGTTCCATATGCATATGAAATCTGGGCAATGAGTAAGACATATCAAAAAGTACTGATGCCTTCGAATTATGGTACTGGTAAAGAATATTAAATATTCTCCATATTGTATATGGGGATCACGATGAGTCAGAATCAATAACAGTGATTTCAATGGATTTTCCCAAAAGATACTGGACAATCACAGGTACTTCTTGGGAAGAAGTGTTTAGAAAATTGCAAACTGCATTGGTGCATAAAAGGCCAGGCAAGTTGTGCAGAGCAATTTTTCCCATCACACTAATTCACTTGCTCAGTTTTTGTGACTGCCAAAGCCTATCTTAGAAGGATTTTTGATGAGAAACCTTGTCCTGTTCACCATAAAAGCCCTGTTTTTGCCCCTTCAGATTTCATTTTGTTCCCCAAACTCAAAGACTATTAAAAAACAGCATGAGTTGAGTCCTTTGAAGATGCCGAAACAATAGTTTAGGCATATACAAATAGAAAGGTGCAGCATTTTTAGGGGAAGGACTAGAGAGATGGAAGCCCCCTTTCAGAAGTGTGCAGACCCAAGTGGAGGACTTGTTGAGAAACAATAGCTTTACACTTTGTTATTTTTGTTGAATAAAACTTTCTATGCTTTCATAAACTTTTCTATGTTCTTTCATAATTATTCTTCTATAATCTAATACAGTTCGGTAATCCACCATCTCAAGGATATAAATTGGGTGACATCATTTGATTTTTAAATGCTGTATTTCCACCACAAGTACTCAACACAAGTGGGTACATTTGCTGAATGAATGAAGCAGACAAATATATAAAACAATATAATCATCTGTTTCTAAATTCTGTACATATTGTACTTAAACTCGTGCCTTTTTACCCCTGTTCTGTAGCTATGTGTGTCTTTATTTTAAGGTTCAAGTCTATGTCAATGGAATTCCAGCTAAATGCTCAGGCGACTGCAGATTTACATGGGATCTCCTGCCTACACCCCAAGTCTTCGACATAAACCCTTTGCGAGGTAACCTTGTGCTTTTTACCTTGGAATGTAGGGTAGAAGGGAACTAGCAAATACTCTGCTCATGGTATTTTTTATGTTCTCACAATTAAGGCAACTAGACAGATAAGGTGAAAAAAATCTATTAAATTAGAAAGCTAATGGAAAAACTAATTTAAAAAAAGAATATTGTCATTGAAGTTGGATTCCTTAGTACTATGTTTCCAGTTTCACCAGTTGGAACCAATCTCTACAACTGCACTCTGCCATTGAGTCATTATTCTTTTTAAATGGAATTACCTAGGATATTAATTGGAATTGTTCATTATATAAAATCATTTCCTCTGGGAGATTTAGCAAATTCTTAACAAGAACTCATTCTAGAAGACATGTTTTACTGTTTCTTCATAGTATATTATTACTTTTAAAACAAAGTAATTATACTTTGCGTCTAGCTCCCCAGGATTAAAATAGGCAGTAGGATTTAGGATTGTAAAAGGTCTTTTCTTTTTTATTCAATCATAGAGATAAACTCATATGGAATAATCACAATTTACTCTTGATGGCTAGCAGGAAAATTTACCTCTAATTTTCTATCAGCAAAAAGCAATATGCATTAAACATTTTTAATGACTGCATCTTTGATTGAAATATATTGAAATATATATATTGAAATATATTCTTCAGACTTTTTACATTCACAATATTACAGCTACTCTTTACTTTTTGACTCTGTCATTATGACATTTTGTATTTACAGCAGGATTTAAAATCCACTTTCCAACTATTTTGTGAATTACCAATGCACATCTGGCAGTAACAAAAGCCAAGCGTATCATGAGCATAATGCTGACTGTGATGGTTAAGGTTTGCATCAAGTTACCCGGGCCCTGAATCCCAGTGGTTTGACAGTTATGTGATGACATATTTTGTGATCTGCTGTCATCCTCCTCCTTTGTGTCAATGTCAATCTTCATGTAATAACATGGTCTTTGGAACCTACTTATGCCAGTAAGTGAGGAGTGTTGAGTATTAACTTTTGGATGATTTATGTTACGTGATGCCACACCTCAAAGGACTTTTTGGTGTACTTTACTAGAGTCTTTTGGTATTAATTTTATTAATCTTATGTAAGCATGCTTTTATAATATATATTTTCCACTTTATAATGAATTTTAATTTTTACATGCACTTCTTGAAAATAATGATTTCTCATTCTAACACACTAAGCTGAATAACTTTTTGTCACATTTTGATAAAGGTAAAAGTAATAAAATATATGTAAAAAGAAGGTTACAGAAATATCTATGTTCCCCTTACTGAAAAATCAACATTTTGCCACGTTTACTTCTATTTAAGAAAAGTATTATAGAAACTGCTTAATTCCCCTTGAGGTGCTACTCCTTATGCTAGTGTGCTACAAATACCCACAGGCCATCACAATAATTAAGTCTGTGTGTATTCTTCAATATCGTTTGAAAAATTATTTTATGTTGCACACCTACATATGTCATTTTTACCAGTTTTTTTAAGTTTGCAAATGAGATATTACAATGTAAATATCTTTCTGTATCTTTTATCAGTCAGCATTCATTGATAGATACTTATGTAGTTGTATGTACATCTAATTCATCCTTTTAAACAACTTCAGGAATATACCAGTTTTCATTTATTTGTTCTTCTTTTGATGGACTTTTAAACCATTTCCAATTTTTGGCTTTGCAAATAGTGGTCTTTGTATTGAGCTTTGCTGGACCTCTCTCTACCTGTGTCCTCTAACTTTAGAGGATCCCTATCTGCCCCCAAATCATTAATATATGTTGATGATAGCCTAAAGTTGTAGGGTCTTGTTTTCATTCTTGGCTATTTAATTCCATGTGGAATCTATGTTGTGTATGGCATTATTAATGTTGGGTAGTTCTATCATACTTGGATACTTTTAAGATTGAATGGAAAGATATTCAATATAATTTATTGGGACAACAGGTTTTTACCCTTGTAAACTGGCTATATCCTAGACACTTTCATAATATGTAATACCCTAGGTAGAGTAATCTTATTTTTATTCAAATGGAATGTATTTGCACACATCTTATCCAGTTTATCCTTTCCTCTTGAGGTTGTGATGGCATATTGATCCTATGCAAAGTTACCACATAAAGATATCTCAGTTTCATTTATTTTTCATAAGAATATCTTTATTTTCCTTAACTCATTTTTATACTTTCAGTCACATCATGATCTCCAATGATAACGGTCAACATTCAGATTCTAAATATGAATCAATATAGAGTAGTTACATGAAAAAAATAATAGCCTGGCTAAATCTATTTCCACTCCCCATCATCCCCCTTCTTGCTTATAGATCTATTGTTTATGTGTTTTAGGGGTTATCATATGTATCTTATATATCTTCCCTAAGAAATATCTGATTTCCTAACAACAGATTCTGTAATTTTTGTTATTTTAATATTTAAATTGTCCTTTGCAGGGTCCTATGAAGAAAACACAATTCTCACCATTTTAGGCTCTGGATTTTCTCCTAGTTCATCTGTATCCGTCTCAATTGGACCAATAGGTTGCTCTCTTCTTTCTGTTGATGGTAGGTCCTATTAAAACTTATTATTATTATTAAATATTTCTTCTCTTAAGAGAAAGTTGCCTCAAAAGAGTAATAGCACAATTACGATTACCCTAGAGTGCACTCTACGGTGTTATGAAATTAGTAACCCGATCTGGTTAAATGCTTTCATTTTTTTCTCAGTCAAATTTGAGTGTCTTTTTCACTTAGCATTTGGTTTTTATTCATGTTTCCTCCTTCATTAGGTTACATGAATACTTTCTTGGCTGTTACTTTAGAATACAAGAATATACGAATTGCTAGTCTGGCGTCCCATGGTCCTCTGTCTATGCTTTGACAAGATCCTGTCAGTCAGGTTGCAAGCAAACAGGCTCATCTTTCCAGACTTCTATTCGGACCCTCTGTTGTTTGCTATACATGCATCAAATGGCATGGAGGTGGGCCTATATGACCTCTTCTGGCTCCCGTATTTCCAGGAGGCAGCATCCAGACATGCCTTTACCCTCCATCCCTCCATACCCCAATCTCATGCCAACTGTTCCTCCTAAGGCACTATACTTCTGTGCTGGGTTTGATCGTTCATTTCAGTGGATACAAAGAACTCACAACTAAGGGGCTTTATTAGGGAAGTTAATAGATTATGACTCATCAGGATCAGCAAACAGTAAGGGTGCATTCATTGGCCCATGGCAGCAGCTCACCTCAGCCAGCAATGAAGTCTTTCCCTGGTTCTCCGCCCCTCAGCCAGGGCTTGTCCTTTGCCCCCAAGCACCAGGAAGTCAGCCTGCCTGTCGCTTTCTCTCACAGTTCCATGGATCAGATGTAGAGAATGTATCTCAGAGGCTCTGTGCTACATTCTCTGGTGCACCTGGGCCTGGCAGGCACTACTGTCTCAGAGATCTTGGATGTGCTCTTCCAAATGGTCCTGTGATTTTTCCGTGTCCCAAATGGCCTCTTTATACTAAGAATGGCTTTGATGGAGGTGTGGTTTTCTGTTTAGACCATATCCCCCAAGGAAAGCCATGGCGTCTTAATCCACTTCTCCTAGTAGAGTCTGAAGATGGTGCCAAGGAAACAAAAGGTGTGGTTTGGTTCACACCCTCTACAAAGGGCAGGATTTAGCCACCATTCCCCTCTTAATCTTGTAGCGTACACATGTGAAAGCTGGGCATTGCCTAAGGAACGGAAGAAGAATCAATTCATTGGGATTATTGGATTATGATGTTGGCAGAGAGGATTGAAAGTATCGGGGATGCCAGGAAAACAAACATCTGCCCTGGAAGAAGTACAGCCAGAGTGGTCTTTAGAGGCAAGGAAGGTGCGACGTCATCTTGAGAACTTTGGCCATCTTGTCAGGAGAGACCAGTCCTTGGAGACAGACACCACACTTAGTAAAGTGGAGGGGGCAGTAACAAGAGGAAGGTCCCAACAGCATGAAGGACACAGTAACTGCAGCAATGGGCTCAAACATAGCAACAATTGTGGGGACGGCACAGGACTGGGTTGTGTTCTGTTCTGTTAAAGAGTCGCTACGAGTCAGAACTGACCAGAGGCCACCAACCAACAGCAATCCTGGAACAGAAAACTCCCTCCAAAATAGGATCATAACCTCAGGCATACAGAACGGAACTCAATGCCATCAAGTGAATTTTTAAAATTGTTTTATTAGGGGCTCATACAACTCTGATCACAATCCATGCATACATCAATTGTGTAAAGCACATTTGTACATTCATTGTCCTCATCACTCTCAAAACATTTGCTCTCCACTTAAGCCCTGGCATCGGGTCCTTATTTTTCCCCTCCCCCTCTCCCCCCTCCTTCATGAGCCCTTGATAATTTATAAATTATTTTGTCATATCTTGCTCTGTCCAACTTCTCCCTTCACCCACCTTTCTGTTGTCTGTCCCCCAGGGAGGAGGTCACATATAGATCCTGTAATCGGTTCCCCCTTTTCAACCTACTTTCCCTCTACACTCCCAATATCACCACTCACACCATTGGTCCTGAAGGGATCATCCGCCCTGGATTCCCTGTGTTTCCAGTTCCTATCTGTACCAGTGTACATCCACTGGTCTAGCCAGACTTGCAAGGTAGGATTCGGATCATGATAGCCAGGGTGGGGAGGAAGCATTTAGGAACTAGAGGAAAGTTGTATTTTTCATCATTGCTACATCACACCCGGACTGGCTCGTCTCCTCCCCAAGAGCTCTCTGCAAAGATTATCTCCAGTGGCCTACAAATGGGCTTTGTCGAAGGGATCAGGTATCAAGCATCATGCGAACAAAAAAATTTTACCATAGTGAATGAGGAGGGCAGTAGAGTGGAGAGCCATCAAGTGAATTGACTCATAGCTATTCTGCAGGACAGAGTCGAACTGCCGTGACGGGTTTCTGAGACTCTAACTCTTTGTGGGAAGACAAAGCTTTATTTTTATCTCAAGAAGTGATGGGTAGTTTTCAACTGCTGACCTTCTGATTAGCAGCCCAAATATGTCCCCAGTGCTCCTAGTGGAGTTGTGGTTATGTGTTGGGCTGTTAATCAGAAAGTCAGTAGTTTGAAACCACCAGCCACTCAGCAGGAGGAGGAGGAGGCTCGTCACCCACAGGGGCAGTTCTGCACTGTTTTATAGGACACTGTGAGTCCGAATCAACTCAATGGCAGTGAGTTTTCTCCCAAAGTGCCTCTGGGTGGATTTAAATAAGCATATGGTTCAAAAATATAATGCAAAAATATGTAAAAATATCAGGAATTATGGCTAGAATTAAGCAATGAATTGACTAAATCTCAATACAGATGAACAATTATTTATGTTTCTACCTCTGGAAATAATGAGAACTATATATATTTCTCTAAAAATTGTCTTTTATAATCCTAGATGTTTAGTTTAACTTTAGTAGATTGGACTTACATAAATGAACCCAATTACCAAATCAGTGATGTTTTAAATCTAGATTTTTCTATAAATTCTTGGGATTTAATAGTCAAAACTGCACCTATATTATAAGTATACACATCTTATTCTAAATGAAGCAAATATATTTTCATTTAATTTGTAACCTTTCTTGATCAATCTTAGTGTTTTACTGAATTTTAGACTTAAGCAAAATATTGGACCAAATATTTTATAACTGTTAGCAAAAATGACCTTACCAATTAGGGTTATGGGTACTGTCATAAAAACTTCTGGGGAGGGGGCATAGCACCAATCATGAAGAAATTTTTAAAAATTGTTTTCTTCATTATTGATTTGCCTGTTTTCTAAGAGAATCTGATTCATAACATGTAGTTTCTAAAGGTTTTTTATCTCAATTAATATATGAGTTATTGTCTGTAGACATATTTCTTGGGTTATAAAAATGAGGTCCAAGGTAAATATTTGGAAGTAGACATTTTTCAAGAATTTTGTTGTACAAAAAATACTTGCTTTATCCTTTTCTTCTTTATTATCACAAGAGAACAACATCACATGCCAGGTTCTGAAAGGAAGTGCCGGACATTTCCCAGTTGCTGTGTCCATAGCCGATGTTGGACTAGCACAGAGTGTGAACACTGAGACATTTTACTTCACCTATCACCATCAGCTCTCACGCATCTGGCCTTCTTCTGGAAGTCTAGCAGGTATGACAAAGAAAATGACATCTATTTCCACCATTTGGTTGTGCTGTTTCGGGAACAGGCTGAGGGGAGGGGCCCTAATGCCATGGAGCAAAGCAAAGTACTGTGTTAGAAGGTACAGTGATTAAATGGCAGGCTAATTCTTTTGTTTCTTATGAAATGTAAGTCAGGGTGATTGCTTATACTTACATCTTAGGTCATTGAATTAATATCATCAATTATTACATGTTCCTATAACAAGCTCATCAATTATGTCAAGATAAGATTTATTAGTTATTATTCTGCTTACCAGCTGCTCCATTTGTAACCATGGTCTCAATGGAGCTACTTGACCCAGAAAAAGTTCTCGGAACACATCAGACAAAGGAAGGCTAATGCCCAGAATAGAAGGAAAAGCACACAGTATTTTCCCCTGTTCTCTTTCATTTCCGTTTTGCTTTATTTGTTGCTATTTTTCACTACGCTAGGTTTTAGACTTTGTGCTCTGGATTTGAATTGGTTTTATGACTTGTGCATATTTAAATTATGTTTTCTTTTTTAAAAATTGTTTTCTTTGTTTCCCTTTAAGTGAGAAGTATGTAAATTGAGTTTGGTGAGAGTCTTAATTCACCCACATTTCCCACCCATAGATGGTTGAGCAAATAGAAACCACCTAACTTCTTTGTAGGATAAAAAAGTTACCATGAAAAATCGTAGTTACTGGTAATAATTGCCCAAAGCAAATAGCAATTACAAAGTTGTCGTTTCATAAAACTGCTTTGTGGAGCACCTTTCTAATCCCAAAACTCAGTGTGGAGGCTTGGCATGCGCTGGTTATTGGATAAAAGCTAAACCCATAATCCCGAGTTTTCTCCTTCATCTACTTGCCAATTCATCTCTTGAATGATTGGATAATCACTGAATGATAAATTAGATTATTGATCCCAATTGTCATTTTGTTGTTGTTATCATTGATCTGTTCTTTGTTTTGCTTTCTCATGAAGGTGGTACTCTTCTGACTCTGTCTGGATTTGGCTTTAATGACAACTCCCAGGTCGTAGTTGGGAATGAATCTTGCAATGTGGTTGAAAGGAATTCCAATACTATAACCTGCAGAACACCGAAAGTAAGGCATCAAGTTTAGTCCACTTTCACTTTCGTAATATGCCTGATCTTTTATGAATCAAAGAACACCTTTATAAAGGGTGATACAAGTGGGGTCTTTATCTAAAAACTACAATTTCATTTATGCTGTTCAATAATTATTTCTTCCACATCTTCTGTCTGTTAAGATACAAAGACAAAACATAACTTCCACATTCTAGACACTTAAAATGTTGAAGGAGAATAGACGTATAAACGAGTACTATACAGTGTGATTCTATTTTAAGTTATAGAAATAGATACAAAAGAAAAATAACATACATTGGGAAGAATTCATTGGGAACTGTTTTGAAGAAAAGTTGATGCTCTGTCAGAGTTTGGTTAACGAACGGAAGTTTACCTTTTAAATCAAAGCCAAAACCCTACTGCTATAGAGATGATTCCTCCCTATAGCCATCCTGTACTGATCTTCCCGAAGAAAGTAGAATTGTTCTTTTGGGGTTTTGAGACTAAATCTTGAAAAATGTGTGAAAGTTTCAGTTTGCTTAATAATAAAATAATAATAAAAGCAAAGTTCTCCCTGAAAAATTGTATCTTAGAACCAAAGATAATGCTTCAATCTAATCCAAGACTCTCACTGGTTTATTATGTGTTAAGTACTGATGAATTGAGTCATTAACACTAAAGGGAACACAAAACAAAACTGTAGCAGAGTAGGTGGGGTTTTATGTTGTAGAATATGTAGGAACTAAATCTGAGAATTTACTAGACTGAATGATGGGTGTTAAGAACCTGAGGAATACAGTCAAGTAAACTTACTTTGTTTAAACTCTATCATTGAGTTACACACTGCGTATGCATTACAGAAGTACGAGTGTTACTAGGTGAGAATTCCCTTTGTGCTCCAGCAGGGAATACACAGGTCAATGAAAGCTGGAGCCCCGTGGGGCAGTGGTGAAGCACGCAGCAGCTAACTGACACGTTGGTGGTTTGAGCCCAGCAGCCGGGCTGCTCACAGATGTGGCTCATCTCTCTCCCGACAGACTTCAGTCTTGCAAACATGATGGAGCACCTTGACTCTGTCCTACAATTCACAATTTGCTCAACAGCTATGGCTTTTTGTTGTTATTGTTGTTTGTGGCAGTACCACGTCTTTTCCTGTAAGATCCAAGTGCTGGCCACGGTTTCATGGACGGGGCCTGGAAAAAACCCCACAATTCTGTGTTTTATCAGTGAAGAAGAATCCAACTATATTTGAATCTACTTTAACTGCAAAAATAGTTAAAGTGATGTCCGCCTTATGCATGTTAAGCCCGCATGCAATCGCTGACTCAGTTGCCAGAGCCTTTAGGCTGCGTTGCAGAACCCCCGGGAATTCAATAATGTATTTGTCTATAAATTGTTCACGAGCAGCTAGACACAACCTTAACATATACCTTTATCTCTAGAATTCAAACTTACAACCTAAATTTGACACCACAATTTAAAAAATATCTAAATGCTTATTTTTTCCAAACATAACACCTTCAGAAGTTTATTTTAAATGATTCTGTTGTAGCCATTGTATGTCTGCATTTGAACATTTAATGTTTTCTAATGGTTCGCTTTATCCTTCTCTTGCTTTAGAGAATTGAGGGTACAGTGGATGTATCAGTCATTACCAATGGCTTTCAAGCCACAGCAAATGATGCTTTTAGTTATAATTGTTTGCAGACTCCAGTTATAACTGATTTTAACCCCAAAGAACGGGCAATACTAGGTAAGAAATTCTTAAATAATATCAGTCATTTAAGTTAGATATTAGCTTACAGGAACCACATCTAGAAATTCTTTCAAAGCACAGTTTTCTACTATGATCCGTCTAGTAGTTCTCCATGAACACGTGCAATCAGGGGAAAATGTTACAGACGGGGAGAGAAAGTGCTTTGTCATCCTGTTGGGTGTGTGTGTGTGTGTGTGTGTGTGTGTGTGTGTAACAACTAAGCAAAGATTTTATTTGTACCTGGTCATGACCAGTGTTTTCTTCTTTTTTGCTACTGAGAATGTTAAGACTTCCAGAATGACATGGACTCTAAGTTGACCTGTTGAATATGTATTTTTCACACTTGATCATATGTTGAGGCTTCTCAAGGTTTTTTGTTTTTCATTTCTTTTAAAATAATAGGAGAAGTTAATTTAACAGTAAAGGGCTATAATTTTGGAAATGGACCCACAGAGAACATGGTATATGTGGGAGGAAAACCGTGCCAGGTCCTTCACTGGAACTTTACAGACATTAGGTGCCTCTTGCCCAGCTTGCCTCCCGGAAAACATGATGTCCATGTAGAAGTCACAGGCTGGGGTTTTGCATCCAACAGGTATGGTAATCCCTTTATCCTGGAACCAAAACCACTGCTTCAGTTCAGCCAAATAAAAGATGGCCTATCAAATAAACAATAGCACGCATAAGGAATGTGCCCTTTTGAACCATCAGCTACATGAGACCAAACCATCCACATCTTTCTGGTCAACATTTCCCAGCAGCAAACACCAGAAGACAAGGGAAACTGGTTGGACAGAAGGAAATGGGGCAGCCAGGGTAGACATAGTGCGAATGCTGGCACATTGCAGGGGCTATAACTAATGTCACGGAGCAATACAATATGTGTGCATTATCTAAATGAGATTTGATTTTCTGTGCAAATACTCACCTAAAACACAAAACATTTTAAAACAGACACAACCATAAATGTAAGTCAAGGCACCTGGGGCTAATCGTATGACAACTAGGAAAGAAAGCCCTCGGCTTTATAATCTGTCTGGTTTTCTGTTGCTTCTTGTTGTAGGTGGTTGTGCGAATACCCCAAAAAGCATAATAATACTTGGGTTTGAGGTCAATACCATTCAGAGTCAATTGTCAGAATCTCTGTGAAAAGACATTTCTGTATATGACAGATGATGTGCTTTCATTCAGAAAATAGTTATCAATGGTGAAGAAAGCTGATGGTGCCCGGCTATCAAAAGATATAGCACCTGGGGTTGTAAAGGTTTGAAGGTAAACAAGTGACCATGTAGCTCAGAAGCAACAAAGCCCACATGGAAGAAGCATACCAGCCTGTGCAATCACGAGGTGTCGAAGGGATGAGCTATCAGGCATCATCAGAAGAAAAAATTATATCATAGTGAATGAGGGGGGCGGAGTGCGGACTGGAGACCCAAAGTCCATTTGTAGGCCACTGGACATCCCCTAGATCGGAAGAGCGGTT